TCTGAGCTGCCTTTGATGTTTTAGAGATACTATATTTTGCTACAAAGCAATAAAAAATACCCAAAATATTTCAATTTTTATGTGCTTATTATTATCATAGGAGACAGTAGCTCTGGGCATGACACAAACTGCTGCTTTCTTTGAATACAGCAGCAGTCCAGAAAACTTACAATGAAATATGAAGCTCAAGACAAATGGGGAAAATACAGTAAGACAAAGCATCACAATAATACTGTGTCATCACTGGCCCAAGCCAGACTCTTGGTGACTGCTATCAGGTGTTCTCACTGTTCAGTAAATTGGGTGACTAGTTGTACACCTTGTGAGCATCAACACAGGAAGGAGGAATTGGTGGGAAAATCAGGAAATGCCACTCCTAAGAGTTACAAAATGGTAATATAATCTCAGTTCCAAGGATTTATTAGGAATGAAGAAGTCCCAGAGTGAAATTGTCTTTAGTCTCTTCAGAAGCTGGAGCAGAAGCTTGCACAAGTCAGTGGTTGTATTTACCATCTTTGGCCTGGTTCTTTACATGCAGCTGGTGCTTTACAACAGAGATCCACATCTAGAGCAGATGCTTTTCCTTTTAAAACCTTGTTCGGTTTTACAACCCCTTTGAATGGATTTTGTCAATCCCTGAGTGGGACAAGGCTCAAGGGAGCTGCGTAAAGGAATGCTTCAGTAGATGGCACTCTCCCTCTGAAGGAGGATGGGCAAATACCTCAGCCAAGGAATTAGATGCAGTGAGAACAGCTTCCTTTATACTCTACAGAAATCACAGTGAATGCACATAAAGCTCTGCCTAGCTATGAAACGAAGTAACCCCTGGCAGATTTCCACAAATTTCAGTCTATCAAGTCCTCACATCTGGCTTCCTCCCTGCTTGAATGACTGTAGTCTGTTTCTGTTCAGCTGAAGTTCTCCTGAATTCGTAACAGTGAATACACACACATTTTTTATATCTATTTTTTGTATATATATTGCACCTGTACCATATACACCATATGTGAATATATATATATATATATATATAAAAGAGCTCAGTGGAAATGTAAGTTGCATACATTAGACTGAGTTTACAATTGTTCTTTCCCTATTTATATTTTTTCTCAAATTCTTTATTTTATTCAACTATTCTGTTGAATAAAATAAAGAATTTTTTTTTTTTTGAGATTTTAAGTCATTTTGAGAACTTAAGTCCTTTGATTTGTTGACAGTTTTCTGTTGCTATTTTATAGTCACAAAATTTCATAGTTCCACTTTAAAGAGTACTGAATTAGTACAAGTGAGGAGGACTCAGCTGCAGGTATGGGGACAAGGAAGACCTGCTAGGCCTTAGGGAGCTACAGGCTTTTTAATCAAATCTATTGCTAAACAAACAGCAATGTACAGCCAACATGCATCTTTCTAAACTGTACAGTCCTTTCCTAACTGATGAACAGGAGGGTGAGAGAAGAATATGAGAGAAATGTGTATAAGACAAAGTTGCAATAAAAAAATTACATGGGAAAAATTTATAAAAAGCAAATTTAATTAGTTGCATTTTAATTGAACTAATTAATCTATTTAATTAGTTCATTTTTTAACAGTTTTGAATTCTTGAATAATTTGAGTATATTTTTAATTTACTGCTTTTAAGTACCTTTTTTTTTATTTGACTGGTACACAACTACATACGTTCTCAATCACTGCCTCTCCCCTACACTTTGCAAAAATCCTTTATCCATTGATTATAACCACAGAGGTAAGAGCATTTTTAAAATCCAGACCCAGAAGCTAAAAGTTTCCTACCATAGCTCAAATAAAGTTGACCTTTTTTCCCCCCAATATTTATGTCAGAGCCTGAGGGTGTTTGGGGGCCTGATAGCCTGAAGAGGCCCTAGGTCATGTATGAAATAGGAGTAGAATGAGTATTTGTGTGCATCTCTTCAGTGATGGACAACTTTTGAGCAGTCAAAAGTTATGCACCATTGCCAGCTGGGTAAGAGAATTTCTGCTAAAAGAAGCAGTTCAAGCAGTGACAGGCTGCATAAGCAAAATGGTAGATTAATAAGTATAGTTTTTTATATTTCCTATTTTTTGAGTCAAAATGAAACAAACCTACTGTGAGTGTCAGGTGCTTAAGGGACTGTGCCCAAAGGCAGTATTTTCTGTCATTTAGCAGAGATGTTGTATGCCAGATTAAATGCTGACCAGTGGAAGCTTTTTGTGGAAAATACTGTTAGCTACAGAATCCATCTGTTTTTTTGGCAAATAGATTTAAACTCCCAAATGCATTTAAACAGAATTCCAAATAGCCTTCACAAAGTGAGGTTACTTCTTGGAAGTCTCTTTTGCACACAAACTAAACGGAAATGGTTTGGAGAGGCTTTTTTAACACTGTACAAAGGAACAGATTTTTTTTTTTCACCTTGGAGACAAAACTCAAGATGTTGAGCGTGGGATATTTCCTATTTGAAGCATATTCTGTACAAGAATAAAAGCAAAAATAGTCCAACATTATTATGGTATTACTATTTTTTTCCTTTTCCGCAATATTGAGCTCACATTTTATTCAGTTAATAAGGAGACTTAATCAAGGTCATGAAACCAATCAAAGACACTTGATTTATAGTTTCAACCCCTATCTTTGTAGGAGCTGTTGTGATTTCAGAGAATGTTTAAAGGTCTGTAAATCAGCCTTCCACACCGCTTTCAAGTATTTGTTTCAAATCAAAGAACAATTGCCTGACTGAGTCATCAAACTATGTATCAGGACACCTGAGTTTTATGCCTTCAGGCAAATTATAGCCTAATTTTCAGGTATCATGCACTTCTTTAACTCCCACTTATCTAAAAGAGAGTTGCAAGAGCTTGGCACCTCTGAAACTTGTTTTTAAACCATTTTGGGAATATCTTTGTTGTCATTACATTACAAAGGTTCTACTGTCGTTATATTGCAAAGGTTCCATATTGCTAGAGCTTTGTACCTTCTTGATGTCTCCCATAGGCAGCTCCTCCAGGCACTGACTCTTCCTTATCCTCACAGTAACCAACTGACTCCAATTCCCCTCAACCAACCAATCCACTCTTTTATAACACTCTTCTTTATTGGCTACAGGTATGGCTTGTTAAAATCAGGCCTGCTCCTAATCTTTAATAAGTAACCCAGCTGCAACTCTTTCGGGGGTAAAATTACTTTCTATACTTTATTTTCTAATATTGTATCCCCCTACAAATCTTCTTTACAGATGCATTGGAAAGCTGTTTTTAGTGTTCGCAGTAGATTTTTAAATGTTTAGTAAGAGCGTTACAGAAATGCAGCCATTGCTAACACACGTATCATTGAAACAGTCCTGTTGTTTTCTCATCTCAGTGCAGTACAGTTCAAGTTACCTTTAAAGAACCTCACAATAAAGCATTACAGTTTTTTAGACAGAGCAGAGCAAGAGGAGCATGTGATGGGTAGCAGGCTTTTAGGATGAAAGCTGCAGGGTGGAAAATGATGAGCAAAGGTGAAAAGCAAGTGGTGGCAAAAGTAGGACGTGGCAATCACATGGGTTCCTATTCTTTAGAAGACCTCTACTGAAAGGATCCAGAAAACATGACAAGAAAATAGACATCCTAGCCTAGCTTTTGATAACATTAGGAAACCAGACAGAGATGAGAACTCAATGAATTTGCAGAGCTGGTCAAGGAAATAGCCAGAAAAATCAAAATTACAGTTCTATGTAATGAATTGCATTATGTATTAGAAGTGTCATATCTTTTGGTTTACCAGTGTAGGTAAACTTATTTGTGACAGGTGGTATTTGTGATTAAGAAAATTATATCAAGAGAAAAAAAGCAGTTGTTGGACAGACCAGAGGGATTTGGGTGAGTCTGTTCATGAGTGTTTAGAGATGGGTGCAGAACAATGGGTTGATTTTCAAACATGATTTATTTAGAAAATAAAGATTCATTAAAGGACAGAGGTGAAAACTTCCCACTAAATGTATCAAATGCAATCATTAGAATAAATCCACCAAATCTATGAATAAGAAGTTAATAAAAGTGATTAACTTTCAGCAGACTAGTACCTACAGAATCCCTAATTAAGGTGACCATGGATCAAACCAGTTTTTACTGGAATCCTCAATATTACAAAAATCACCTCATGCTGCAAGAATTAAACCAGGGTCATTTGTAAATCTCTTCAGCCAAGGGTGGGCACATGCACCAGACTGGTGAATTAAGCAAAAGGAGAACTGAACATTTTCCTTCACTACCTCTTTCTGCATGAAAACAGCAGATAATTTTTGCATCCTGCCATTGCTAACTTATCCAGCCCATTCAGCAGGACTGGCTCGACAGGAAGAAAATGGTGCGAAATTCATGTGGCCACTGTCTTTTTTTTTCCCCTGTTTTCTATTCTTGCTGATTTGCAAAGCGTCAGGTGACTGAGTTATGAGTTGTTTGTCCAACAGCTCCTTTGTTCTGATCTGTGCTTCAGCAAAAACTGGAAAAACCTGTTCACTTGCTTTTTTTTTTTTTTTTTTATCTTCCTCTCTCCAATTGGTAGCTGCAGCTTGTACACATGCAGACAAGGTGGTGCCTACCTTTCATGTGGAAAGCTGCCTTACAAAAACAGGTTGCATTATCCCAGACTTTTCTAGTCTCATACAGGCTTTGGTGGATGATCCATAACCTAAGCTCCATTTGCTCTCTATGAAATGTGTTTAGGTCATTATCTTACTTCTGTGAAGTGAAAGGAAGGTGTGTCTCCAGTGCACTCATTTTAAATAATAATAATAATTTATGAACTTCAGGAGATCTACAGAAACCAGCCGTGTGAAATGTATTCTTTTGGACTCAGAAGTCTGTCTGCCTTACAGCATCTGTGCACGGTGTGGTGTTAATATCTGTAAGACAGAACAAACAGTGAGGAGGCAAGCTAGTGCAAAAAGCTGACAAATTTAGAAGAAACTTTTGTTTCCGTCTCCTTCCTTTTCTTCTTGCTTTGTGCTGCTGCTGGAACAAGAATGGGTCAGCTATGTGGACGATGCATGCAGCTCCTGCGGGACTTCATAGGCTTTGTTCAGAGGATGTCCTCTGACTTGGTGCAAGGCATCAAGGAATGCTTAACTCTGATAAGCAATTGCTCCTGCTTAAAACAGAACAGCTCTAAAAACAGGCAGCTGTACAAGCCCATCCTACAGCCTCATGAGAGAGTGACTGCACAGGAGTTTCTGCAACATATTGAAACAGGTAAGAAGACTTTCTTTTTCTAAAGGATTGTGAAAGAGCAAGGGGATTAATTTTGTGGGTTGAAAGCAAATTGCTATCTGATCTGCTCTGGTGTGGCATTGAGCAGCTCGGTGATGATGAGGAAAGGCCAGAGCTTACAGAGCATTTTCTTTGTGTACAGGACACCAAGGGCTCAAGTCGTGCAACAGTTGCATCTGGGTAGAAGTCGTCAATAACTTTCTTGCTCTGCCACCACTGTTAATATATAACCCATGTAAATGTGTTTCATAAAAGTGAGTCCTTCTAGAAATTAAAGTTACTTTTTTGAAGGCAGTCAAAAAGAACTGACAAAATTGGACATAGGCTTTGATAGGACTGGATGCTACGTGAGTGCTGAGCTGTGAGTGGGCAGATCACAGTGCGATGTGCACAGTTGTGCACCTCTGTGTTGGCTGAACTCTGGGACTTATGCTAGGAATGTCTGGGCTATTCATGAGGAAGATCAAAGTCACCCTGGGACAAGCATCACTGAGCTCTCAGGATTCCAAGCAACTGTGCTTTTGTGCAAATGTTTTAGACATCAGGCTTAATCACAATTGTGGGATTCTGTTTGAATCAAAGCAGATCCATAACTCTTCATCTGTCTCCTTTGCTTTACAGGTTATCTGCCTAATTCCTCTGTTTTTCTATTTGTGATATCCTCTTTGTCCTGTCCTAGGATACAATATCAATAGGAAATCTTGTTTATTTCACTTCTGCAGTCATCTTGAATGAGTGTACTTTGTTGGTTGTCCAATCTAAAAATAGTCCTTATCTCAAGATAAAGGGGTCATTGCTTGATTGGTTTTGCTTTGTCTCACAACTAATTGGTTATACTTTATGTTTAACAGCTTTGGGCTAAAGCTACTACACAAAATTGCACAGTCCCCTACTTTGGTTTGTGTGAAGGGTGTGGAACTACTTGTCTTTTTGGGAACATGAAACAATCTTGTAAGGGGAACCAGGAGAGACATTTTTCCTTGGTGTGATGTGGTTAATTCTATTTGAAATTATCTGTCATGGAACAACCTGTGGAATAATTGCTGTGACTCTGGTAGTTGGGAACGTGTGTGGATTAGCCTCAGTTGGTATACAACAAGCTGGTGACATTATCCAGTGAATGTGGTGGGTCCTGTGCTGCTGCTAAGGTTCACTGATTGTTGCACCTTTAGACCCAGCTTAAATCTTGACATTCATATCCAGAATAGGGACAGATCTTTCAGCTCGTTGTACAGTGGAGATCTTCCAGGGCTGAACTTTCTCTTCCAAAGTCCAGCATGCTCCTGAGTGTATGGGAGACTGTCTTGGCAGTGTCCCTGCACAGCTGATGGCTGAGATATAATGAAGGGGAGGCCAGAATAGCTCCTTGAAGCAGCCACTGGTGTTCCCTGAAAAGACTAAATGTGTGTTTTCTTGAGAGATCCTTTCCTCTCTGAGATCTGTCTTCAAAACTCTGGTCTGTCTTGGATCCATGGGAGCTGGGGTACAGCAGCAGGAAACCTAGGGCTTCTCTGACAACAGTGCCCGCGACAATGAGGGGTTTCAAGGAGGTCCCACTGTCCATGACAGGACACATACAGCACCCAGGAAGCAGAACCAGTCTGGTTGTCTGGATGGCCAGATCTTACTGCCTAGACAAATGGAGGCAGGAAAGCCTCGCAAAGAGAACCAAGACACATTCCTCTTACTTTAACACTCACCTTTGTATTTTATTCCAAGAGGGAAAAAGCCTGTCCTCAAAACAAAATATAATAAACAAAATATAATAAATAGGAACAAAATATAATAAGCAAACAAAATCTAATAAGCAAAAAGACAGTGTTTGGACAATTTGGGTGCAAGGAGAGACTTCATGGTTGATCATCACACTCATCTGTTCACCAGGGCAGCAAATTTTGATATTTTGAGCAGGTGAAGATTTTGAGTGGTTCCAGTTTTATCACTCTCCCAGACAAAACCACATATAGAAGAATCAGATAGATTCAGGTTCAGATAGTGAAAGGAACAGAATTAAACCACATGAAGAGATTTTTTTGGGTTTTTTTGTCTAAAACCTTGCACACACAGGCGAGTCCTTCCCTTGGTGTATACTACTAATTATTTTTAAAAATTATCTTTATATGAAGCAGTTCTGTGAAGCTCACTTGCCTAATTCTGAGGGTAGGAGTTTGCTAGTCTTGACATGTCAGCAGCTTCTAATGGCTTGAGATACTGGCTGTGTTTTGCAGTGAGGCATGAACACTCATGCTTCTCACATCCCTCACATTTCTTTGTCTCGTGGGAGGTAATAGCTAGATACTTTTCACAGAAATGTTTCAATCATTATTGCACAGCTTTAATCTATTGCCTGAAAATATATCTTATCATTGTGTGCTCCACCAGTTGATCAATCATATTTCCTTTTTAACTCTGTTCTTTCATTCAATGTCCCTTTCCTTTTCCCCTCTGCTGCTCCATTCCACATATTATATTATGCAGTGACTTACAGAAGTCATGCATGACTGCTATTGCTTGATGACTGTTGTTGAACATCTGGTTTATTCATAGGGGAGCTATCATACTCGAGAACAGGTAGACTCATGCTAGAAATTTAAGCCTGAGGCAAGCCAGCTTGCAGTCCATGTTGCTATTCCTTTAAATCCTGATTTCAATACCCAAGACAGGAAACAAAGTGAACTTCAGATATGGTAACTTAGAAATATATACTCTTTCTATACTTAAAAATATATATAGAAATACAAAATAAATTAGAAATATATACTCTTACTTAACTAAGAACACCATGTTAAGTATTTAAAAAAAGATTCAGAAAAAGGTAAAGATTTTTGTGGAGAACAAGAACACCTGCATTTATATTAGATAGCATAAAAGTGTCTAAAGGTTATAATTTATCTTGTTTCCAATCACTAGCTTTATGAGCTTTACAAGAGGCATTGCCAAGGACGGGTTATTCCCAGTTCATCTATTGCTTCTGCTCATGGAAACACCAATAAAGATAGATGGGCTTTATGGAGTACAAAAATCCTTATGTGTTTGGTTGGCTTTAAATTTTAATTTCTTTTTGTAAACTAACCCTTTACAGATGTAATTAAGCCTGTGCTGTCATTTTACATCTTCAGATTTTGAAATGTCTCCACTGGGAAAGGACCCTCTGGAAGCCTTGAGGACCTTATCCTTTTCAGAAAACCCAGGTTTACAGCAGTCGGCTGCGCTCTATTACTTGCACGTGAGTCAGCACAGTAAGTTCTCTCAGTAAGCATTTGACAATTTTTGTGTAATTATAAATAAAAATATTATTTCAAACTGTGAAACTCCTTTTGATTCATTAAGCAAGTTTATTTTTTTGCTTTCATGCCATGTTGTTTGCTAAGGAAGATGGAAAACTGTCATTGCCACGTAGGCAGAGTCAGTTCTGGTTTTGTTATAAGGAGACATCTCCTACAATTATAAAAGACTGTTACTTATGAAATTGTTACACTTAAGTGAAGCTCAGCAGAACCCAAAGTATTTAAAGTTAGTGTATACTGGATCTCCTGAAAGCAAGACGTCAAAATATGGTGAAAGGAAATGGACATAGTGACCAGTTAATGTTAAAAACTATATACAAAAAAGGACAATGCTCCAGAAGATAGATTGTAGTGAAAAGTTATGAAGGACACACTCTTCTTTGTTCCAAATATTCTGTGGGAGCACTTGGCTCTTGAGGTAGTTTGTTAATAATTAGGAGTCAGCCTAGATATTCCAAATAAAATATCAGCAAGAGTTTGAATTCTACAAAAAAAAATAAAAATACTAGCAATGAGCAGGTTGCAATTTATTTATTTGTTTATTTTAATTTTACTTCAAAGAGAATATTCTGTCACTTGGATTATAGCTTTATCCCATGTGTTATTTGCTGGATAAAAAGTGCAGGTGGCCACAAGGCAAGGATGTGCTGTGAGGCAGAATGGCTTGTTTGGTAGCAAGGCACACTGCTTCCCTTCCCATGGTGTTTTTGAAGTACTTGATTATTCAAAACCTCTTCAGGAAACTTGCCCTGTTTGCTAGTAGCAGTGGAATTTTAATGAAGGTGAATACCACTCAGCCTGTGCATGGGAGCACCTCAGGCTTAAGTCCATCAAGGGAAAAATGTGACTGTGATGATCAGTGGGACTCATGAATATTTCCTCTCACTCTTGCAGTGAACATCCCCCTGCCTGTGGAACATCTGGAACCCTTCTATGCCTTACTACGTTCTGCTGACCTGGAAGTGCAGCAGATGTCTTCCTTGTCCCTTGTCAACTTCCTGCTGGAAGGAAATAGTGAGTAATTAATGACACATCTCTCTTCGGGTGAAGAAGTATCTGTTCAGCCAGACTCAGACAGAAGGTGGGCACTTTATGCAAATCTAGATTCCTTTTTTTGTGTTCCTCATAGGACAAGTGTGAGTCTGATTCTGAGTGTAAGATACAGAGCTTCTGGTGGCACCAAGATAGATCAGATCCCTCCAGCTACATTATATAATGTGACAAGAGTTCTTGGATCTGCGTGCAAAGGCAGATAAATTATTCCCAGGCCAGTGTGGGAATTCTATTCTCATTCTTGGATCTACAGACATTTTTCCTTTCAACCAATGGATACAGCTAGTAGAAATAAACTCTGTGTACAAGACAGTGCTGATTTTCTGGTTATTTATGAACTGGATCTTAGTGTTAAATTGCTTGCAGAGGAAAAAAAAAAGTTTAAACGCTTAGTATAATTCACTTGCTTCTATACCTAAAGGGGAAAATAGACTTGAGATAGAATTTGGGAGATGCAGAAAAATAACTTCCCAATAAAGTTTATGTTGATAGAGAGGGCATGAACATGCCACGCCTCATCAGCAGAGTCCTTGTTGCTCCTATTACTGCACTCCTGGTCACCTGGGCCACAACAAGTGTTCCATCCTGCAGTCCCATAATAGCAGAAGACAGGGTCAGTCTTCAGTGAAGTTAGCTTTTTTCTTTGCTTTCTTTTTTAAGGATTATGCTGCAAATAATATCATATCACTGTTTACAAAGAAAAATTATATTTAAAGAGTAGGCCTCAGAAGAAAAAGAAAGGGGGGAGCGGGGTTGCTGAGTAAGTTGTGAACGTATTGGAAAATTGCAGTTGCTCTTGCCAAAATTAACCTGATTTGGGACCTTCTGGCCTAAAACCTCCAAACATCTGTTACACTCTTTCATGCATCTGAAGGAGAATTAAGCAAACCTAGCTGGAGACTGAGTGTGGCTTTCTGGCTGTTTCTATCGTAGTTCTATTTTGTATAATCTTAATGTAGATCTCCAAAGCAGTCAATGGATGATGTATTCTTTCCACAAAATCACTGACTGCTTACTTTTTTATTTGTCGATTTTTCTTGAATTTTTGAATAGTTGACAAAGAATTAGTTGTCCAAATGGGTTTACTTGAGCCAATTCTGGATCTGCTTGAATCAGAGGATCCCACTGTCCAATGTAATTCCTGTGCCTGCATCATGACTTTGGCTGTTTCAGGTGAGTGTCCCTTTGCCTTTATCCTCTGCTGTGAATTCATTCAACTCTTCCATCATATTTTAAGATGAAACAACCTATTTGCAATTGGTTTAAAAGTCATAAGATGCAACAACAAGTTTTGGCATTCCCACATCATAAATTCAACCTCCTGACATTCCAGTTATTTTTCTCAGTGTTTCTTACCTTTGTGCTCTTATGATTACAAACCTTTTTCTGATTTTCATCCTAAATGTATTCATGACTGGCTTATCTTAATTAATGTCTGCATTGGCTTTTGCTTCAGTTCTGTCCCTCTGATGTCTGTGCTTATAGGTTTCTTCATTTTACTAGACTGAGAAAGCCAAGGTCTTTTAAGACTCCTCTTGTAAGTGAGACTCTCCATTCATCTTCAGAGTCCTTCCGGGTGTAAATGATATGTTCCAGGAATGGAACTTAGCATTTGCGTGTGCCATATCATGATACCACAGGCCTCAGACATTGTTACAGTGCCAAGATATAGATAAATGCTACAGGAGTTCTGGTTTGCATTCATCTCTTCTGAAAGAGAAGTCACCAGAAACGTGCAGTACTTCAGCTGGGGTCTCACCTGTGCCTTTTGTTGTGGCACACAGGGAAATATGTTTTGTGGTACATCTCATGGTAACGCTTGCAGGTTTGGTGATTGTGCCATGGTGATGTTGTCAACCTACAGCTGACTTAATCACTGAGGCTTGCTCCCTCCTTTGCTGCTATTTCCAGCAGACACCAAGTAACCAAGGCTCTGTACCACACGTTTCCAAGTGCACATCCCTGCATTTTGTACAGGTTTCATTCTGTTTCCATTGCTTCAGTATTCTAACTTGTCTGCTATTTGTAAGATATTCTTGTCCTCCACTGCATCGACAGTTCTACATTCGCATCTTTGTGTTAACTCTCTGGTTCAAAGCAAATATGGACTAGCCCTCATGGAATTCCATCTGTAGCCTCTTCCCAGGTGGTCATTTCCATGCAGCAAAATTTGCTGCCAGTTTGCTTTCAGGCAGTTTTTTATCCATCTTGTACTACTTGCATTTGTCATCTTCTGCTTAACTATGAATATTTCATATAATGATATGAATATTTCCTGGTATCCAGACAGGTAAGTTCAGCCACAGTTACCAAAAGAAAGGTTATCATATTAGTCTGTCTTACTCTACCTTGTGCAAACTCGTAGTTCTCCAGTATAAACCGTGTACAAGTCTGTAGAAAAGCTGTGTTTTCACATTTGTTTCCCTTCTTGTAGCCAGTTTCCTTTTCCAGCTTGGGAAGGTGCAGTCTGATGTCCCAGAAGGTTGAGGGAAGCATCATGAAAGTGTTAATTTCTCATTTAAGTATTTATGTTGCAAAGGAGGAGCGGATAAGCAGGATCAAACGACATGAAAGTGCTGATTTGCATTTTATCCCACTTTTTTGTTTTCAGGTTTTTAAACACTCTTCCCTAAGGAGGTTATTTTTAAGCATTGTATATTATTGTCAGGTTAAAAATTCCACATGCAACATTACTTTGTGTGGAATGCAAATTGCCTCATTTAAATGTCTTAATTAGGCATGGGCATGGCATCACTAAACTTTTAGGTACTTGGCTCTAGAAGGACTTTCTTTGTGTAGAATCACTGAAGTTAAGCCCCTGAAAATTACAGAGAGATGTCCCTTCACCTGTTTTAAAAAGTCCACAGAGAAAGTGATTTGTTTGGGCATCTAAGGATGTTACTTAGTCCTGAAGGCACTCATACCCTTCTAGATGTCTGACCTGGAATACAGGGAGGGAACCCTCAGCTACTGCAGATCCAGGCCACCTTCATTCCCTGTGGTCTTCTTTTGCCTTAAGTGCCAATGTCCTTCTGAGCACAAGTACTCCAAATTGAGCACTCAAAGAGCTTTCAGAGCTGAACATAGAGGTAGGCAGTCCTGCACAGGCTGGGTTGCTCCCTGGTGTTTGATCAGGGTTGAGGATCTCTGTCCCAGTGTAACTAGAATTCAAATGGGCTGGATCCATTTATTTGTTTTTCAGACTATATTTAGATACCACAGCAATGAGACTAAAGCAAAAGGCAATTCTCCAGGGTTCATTTTAATTTTAGCTTGCAGACTCTGGTATTTTTAAGTGTTTGCTTGAGAAAAGTATCCTGTTCAGTCATATCCTTCAAGAAGACCATTTATGCAAAAAAGATAAATATGGAAGCACAACCAAATTAGGAAGATCCTTAGATGGCTTTAAGGTGACTAAAATTCTGCATCTAGGAATGGTCTAATTCTGTTGCAACAAGCATGCAAGACTATGTACAGAGTGAAACTGTTTAGCAGTGTTACTGCAGGTCATGTTACTGCAGGTCATGTGTAAACTGGGTTGTCTCCCTGCTGCAACAGGGAGCTGAAAGTAAGAACAAACTAAGCCATTCAGATGAAAAATATTTGAAGCTTAGTTTGTTCCGACACCAGCATTTGTTCACGCAGCAAAAGGACACATGCATAGTTGCAATTATCTGCAGCTTTTTAATCACTGAGTGAAAGTGAGTGAATCAGTTCTGAGATAAGAACTCAGAGTACTTCAGAACTGAATGTTCACATGTTTGGAGTTTAGGGGGGTCTGAACATCTGCTTTAAGCTAAAACAAGGAGGATGCACTGAGTGTAAAGCACATTCAAAGTTGTTCTGATGGGAAATTTTAGGTACACAAATGTCAGAGAGTGGAAAGAAAGAATTTATAAATTAGTGAGTTATTCAAACACAGCTTGAGTAGATGTTGATTTCCCCACTTTAGAGTAGTGTCTCAAACACATGGCTTCCTTCTAAAAGCCTTCCAAGGGGTGTCAGTGGTTGCAGTGGCATCAGGGGAGGGACTGCATTTTTTAAGATAAACAGGTGGTCCAGGAGAGAAACATGATCTAGCCTGCCACCTCTCATGCAGAGATGGCAAGAGTTACACATCTTGGTGAGATAGATTTCCCCATCCAGTCTGTCATCATAAACTGGTAAAACAAGTGTTCAGGCACAATATCTGATAGAAGAATGAATTTGCCTAAGTTTTGTCGAAATGTTCATAATCCCTTTTCTCAAAGGTAAGGTTCTTTTCCACATTCATAAACATTTATGGAGTATATTGTGTGCAAGAATAAGGGTACCAGTGATATCTAAATTCTTCCTTAATCTTTTTACTTCTCTTTTTTATTTACCTGAGTAGTTTGCATCACACCCTTTGGAGTCATAGAAAAGACTTTCTGCTTCTACTGAGGGAAACAAAAGAATGGTATGTAGGCAGATTAGATTAGAGAAGGGCTTGTCTATGAAAGGGACCAGAATATTTCACCAGAATAATAGCTTCCCACATGGAAAAGCTATTTTAAATAGATTACTCTTCCCAGAACAATTATTTTTCTCAATTTTTTTTCAGAATAAAAGTTATTTACTTGAGTATATACTCATAGGAAGACAGAAGATTACTTGCCCTGGAATATTAAACTGGTACTCTCTGAACTATACTTGAATAAACATCCTGGCTAATCTATGTCAGTTCCTCACTATATAGGTTTAAGGTATAAAACTAGCAACTTTGTTCTCATAACTCTCAAACTTAGCACCTGAAGACTTGATCTCATCCAAATACCGTTTTTTAATTTACTCTACTTGGTGTTTCTCTCAGCAAAGTTCCACAGACTGGCCATTGTTTAAATTGTATATAAATATTGTTAATTTCCTTAGAAACCTCTGCACTGTTTGTAGATGTCAAGTGAGTAATACAGGGAAATTCCAAGAAAGAACTTGGCCCTGAATATACCCTACTAAATTAACTAAACCTTACCTGCAGTTAATGAGGTCGTTTTTGGTTATCACACTGTGAATAGGTTGGTCAGACATACCAAGGGTTTGAAGCAAGTACAACACTCTGTTAACCTGTTTAAAAGGATCTTAAGGATATTTTAATTATCATAGTAACAAACCAAAAGCATTGAACCAGCTGTGATTTATGGCTAATCCAGAAATCACGAATTGGTTTCCTTCCTGTTAAGCTCTCAGAATTTTAAGAGTTTCCTTTGAGCATGCAGAGAAATCAGAGAAGGGAACACCAAGGGATAGTCCTGCTGGTTGTCCTGCTTGTGGCTCACAGTAAGATGGCAGTAAATATTTCTTTCTTTCTCTGATTGTTTTCTCCAGAGTCCAACCGAGAGGCTATTGGTGCTGCTAGAGGAGTTACACCCCTACTGTCTCTTGCCAATTCCTATGATCCCAGAGTCCAGCAAAATGCAGTTGGTGCTATTCTGAACCTCACACAATCAGGTACTTTTGGACTAATGGTTTACCTAAATTGCCAAAAGAAAACTCACTGATAGAAAAATAATCCTAAAGCTTAAGGCAAGAATGAAAGCATATCTGAGCAACAAGTTATTTCCTCTGCATATGGCATTCATGTTGGTACCACAGGTTGATGATTTAAGTTTAGCTGATACAGGCTCTTTTTTGCCTAGCAGCAAAACAAAAAAGCTTGATTTTCAAATCCAAGGGGCTAGTGTAAGAATATTTAAACAATCAGTCAAATAAATAGGAAAAAAAATAGCTATTTGTTAAAGAAACATTTTGGCCTAAAAAATTAGCAGGACATTTGGTGTACTTTAAAGCAATCTCAGGAGCTTATCCAACAAAGTTGAGCTTTAGGAGCTTTTTGCTTGTTCTGACTAACTCAGTGCTGGAATATGCTAAGTATAACTATCACGAGTCAGACATTAAAGGCTTCTGGAATATCTGCAAACAGCTTTATCAAAAGTAGTACTTGGTCCTCTGCAATTATATGTAGACTACCATAATTAACTCTGAAACAAACCAGCATTAAGTTTCACCTACCAAGATGATACCATTATTCCACAGAGCAAAACGATAAAGTCATGAGTAACATCTCTGAACTCTGTGTTCTGGAAGGAAACAGTTGGCAAGAACTTATACAGTTGGCTATTACATTTCTGGTATTATTCAGAATATTTTAAATAATTTGTTGTAAAACACAGAAATAATAGTGAAGATCCTACCTGAGGCTTTTCAGCTTCTCCAGCAATTCAGATTCTCAGAGCAGTTTTTAGCATAAAACCATCAAAAGCTTAATCAGACAGCCTGCTAGTCTTTTTGCTAAAATATCTGCATACTGCTGCATTACACAAGCTCTAAATTATAAACTTTCCAATCACACTGACTGGCATATATTTGGACAACATCAGCACTCTTTAGAACCCAAGAATTGTGTACATCCCTTTTGAATGGTGCCTCCAGATGAGAGGGAGGGAAGGAGGAAGACACTTTTACTTTTTCTTTTTAATGGCAGAGAAAATCCAACAAGTTCTATGCAAGGAAGGAGCCCTACCAGTTCTTGCCTTGCTGCTGGAATCTCCTGACTCAGAAGTCCAGGTATGACTAAAATAGGTCAGATTTTAAAACAGTAACATTGTGACTGTAAGGAGAGCACAAACCTCAGTATGCAGAAATGGAAAGGGGGAGAGGAGGAATGGTTTCTCTAGTGAAGTGGAGAAACATGGGAAAGCATCTTGGTGAAACTCAGCTCAGTCAGATAATATATATTAAAAGACCCAATTTGTCTCACTGCAGAGGAGAAAGTTTGTGATCCAAAATTCCTTCTGCCAGCACACATTAATGTATGCACAGGGTTGTTATGTGGCTACCTTCTTGTGTTTTTCAGATCATCAGACATGATGCAGATAGGTCTCTTCCTCTGGGGTTTGGTTTTTTGTTTTGTTTGGGGTATTCTTGCATCCTAACTTTGATCATCCACTCTAAGTAATGTTACTAAGTATTCTGAGAAGACAACTTGAAAATATAATTTTCTTGTTGTTGTACATATCTGTAAAGCATCCTATTTTATGCCTATCACAGACACCTGTTTGTGATTCTGCACACTCAGCAGAGAGCTCATCTTAGTGCAAAAGTGTGCTGATAAATAAACTAGCAATCAGAGTTGTAAGCCTTACACTCTGCTAGTTTGTTTATTCAGTCCTTTGAGTAGCACAAAATTTTTTGCCCCATCAGTTTAATTATCTCTACTCAGATTTTTTCGGTTTATGAAGGGATGGACCCTCTGGAGTTGCTTTCTGCAAACTCTTTCTGCATTTTTAGATTTCTCTGAGATTCATCTTGTCTAGGTTTGGAAAGAGTGGAGTCTGCTAAGAAAGAAAGGAGCCTCCCCTGAGATGGAGAATGTAAACCCTCTCCACCCCTCCAAATTGCTATAAATTTTAAATTAAGGAGTCTCTCAGGCAAAAATATGGGAGCAGGAAATGACAGTTCTTTAATAGGGAAAAGAAAAAAAATAAAGGATAAAATAAACAGTGCAGTACACTAGAACAACAGACAGAGTCAGAACCCAACCTGACACCCTGTGGGTCAGGGTGTTGGTGGCAATCCAATTGGAAATGTGGCTGCAGTCCTCCTGAAGTATCAGGTGTGGTTCTGTTGGAGCAAGGGGGATCTGTAGAGAAGGATGTGTTCTACCCCTGAAGATCCAGTGGAAGGAGAGGCAGCTGCTGTTCCTTTGCAGAATCCCGTGGAGAAAGCTGTGCTGGTGTCTCAAAAACCTCTGGATTATATCTGGGTAGCAATGCTTGGCTCCTCCCCCTGGGTGGAGCATCTCACAATGGGATGTTATAGTTCTTATCAGTGCAGTGACATTCATAGTCTGTTATCAGCAGATGTCCCCTCCCAAGGGAGGTGTGAATGTGGTCACTCAAAGAGATAAAGCAAACTGCCCACTTGACAAAGGTAATCTGCCATACAGATGGTAATGGAAAACAGCTTACATTGCAATCTTCAACACATCTTAAAATTTCCAACTCTGTAGCTCAACATCTTCTAATTATACCTCTCTAGTAATAGATAATTTTATATGCGTAGTCCTCCTTAGTGTTAATGGTTAGATCCTTTGGAAATGATCTCTTGGCATGCTAGGGCAAGAGCTACATCCAGCTTGAGTAAATCAATGTAAACATATAATACAATAGATGCAGATGACTTAGATGCCAGCAGCCATGTCATTGCAGCAGCAGAGCATGTTCCCAAACAGCCAGAGTCCTAATGAATGTACTACACGCCCCAGCAGGATTGCTGGAGCAGCTACAGCATGTTGTGTCAATCCTATAAACACCCTTAGGATGAAAAAGCATATTATTTTTATTGGTTTTAAATCTGAGCATTTCTACAATTTATTTATATTCTCCTCAGTGTGTCACCACTCTGACCTTTCTGTCTACATTTTTTCTTGGTTCTTTGCAGTACTACAGCTGTGCTGCCCTGAGCAACGTGGCAGCCAATGTTCAGCACCACAAAGCCTTGCTGAGACCCAGTGACAGATTCCTGCTGCGGACACTGATCTCTCTCCTATCCTCTTCCGTGGACAAGGTAAAGCTGTAGCTTTCTCTTTGTGAAAAGACTTAGCATCCAAGTAGAGCTATAGACTTGGGCTTCCAGTTTCAGCTTCACATCATTCTGTTCATCTACTGTACAGGTACCTATGCAGCATCTTTCCCATGAGAAAAGACACCTATAATATAAAATACATGGGTTCTACAAGGTCAATGTATGAAGAAAGCAAAGGGAAATTATTAAAGTTGTTCTACAGCCCTGGACACTTCCTTTAGACTAGGATAGCCAGTATGCTATTAACTTGAAACATCATGTGAGAAGTGCCCTGTCCAGGCTCTGTCTTTGATCATTGTGTGTGTGACAGTTGTGTGACACATCTGTTGTGCTACTTGTTTTTTTCTCTTTTTGGTATCCGGAACTTTTACTGTATGGCTTCAAGGATGACATCTTGAGAATTTTGCTTTGTTGGAAGCCACATCAAGGAAATTTCAAGAAACCACAGTTCCTGGTGGAACTTGAAATTCTGTGTAGAAGGGAGGTGAAAAAGACTGCAAAGCAAATGGGACAATTTCTTTCCCTTCATTTTCTTATAACTTATCAGATGTTCTAAAATAAAGCCAACACCTGAGCCCCATTCTTCGTCAACAATAGGATGACTGATACTAGGAGGTTGAAAAAAAATTTCATCAAAACTTGAAAAAAAAAATGTGCCAAAACTTACTCTTGAAGATAATGTAAGAGCTTACTAGTGTTGTCATGTTTATTTTGTGTGCAATAGGCAAGAACATGCATTACTGAAACTGCTCTTTTTCCTCCTCTCTCTCATTTTTAATTTTTGGTTTTCCTCTTTGGCACAAGCAGGTTTCAAGCCAGGCATGTGTTTGCCTAAGAAATTTGGCTACCAGTGGTAAGCAATGTCTTGGAGATAAAGAAACCAAACTATTTCTATCTCTCTCTGCCTTTCAGAGTGAGCACAGTGGGCTGGGAACCTTTCCTATTAAAAGCAAAGAGACATTTTCTACATTTTAACTGGATGTTAAGGGAAGAGGAAGGTGCAGTGCACACCCTAACTAAATCTATTTTAGAGCTCCCAGGTAGCAAGGGGAGTATCTGGAGAAAGTGAGAAAGGCAGCAGAGGTGTGCTTATGTACAGAGCCTTAGTGAGTTGCTAAGCTTTCCTTCTTTCCATGTTTCCTAAGCATTAAACCCAATTAGGACAGAATGTCTTCTGAAATTGCTTATTGAGTGGGGACCTGTCTTCTCCAAGGCATGATTCTGTCTATCATTAAATAATATTTTCTCCCATGCATTTGTCATCCTCCTAAAAAACCCTATTAAATGTCCAAGATTCATTTCTATGACATATTCAGGAAATAAGTGGCAGAGGACTGGCACACACAGTTCTAAAGTCCCAGACTCCAGGGTAGAGTTTTTCATCTAGAAAATGTAGAGGTGCTTAATTCTCAAGCAGTCACAATTATAGAGGAGTTGAGAGCAAAGGAAGTGCTGTGCCACTCCTTGATGAGTTTGGAACACCCGGTCTGCTTGATCTTTTAGATCTGCCTCTCCATCTGCTGGCTGCTCTGGCATTGCCTTTTAGTGCACTCACTGAGGTTGCAGGAGCAAGTGGGGTATAACAACTCAGTGGGATGGGTGGGCTCTCTTCTGGCTGACCAAAACTCTGCATGATAGGTGGTGCTTGGGAGGTCTTTCTGTTTGTTAGCAGAAGCTGCCACCTTCATACCTGGCTTTAGGCCAATGATAGAGTCAGAAAATTCCCCTCACATGATCTTTTGAGGTTCAGACACAGACTGAGGGTGCCCAAACCTACATTCTGCCATCAAGCTTGTATTAATCCCTCAGCAAAAGGAGGCAGAACAAATGAGGGTTTCTTTTTATAACTGAACCTCTGGCATTGCCCCATCGCACGGAGATGGGGAGGTCCCCTCTAATTTGATACAACAGTCAACTGTTTGAGTCAGAGCCTGAATTACTCCCTGCAGTGCTCTGAACCCCCCTGACCTCCTTTGTTTTCCCACACCAGTGGACATCCAGGCCGAAATGGTTGCTGAGAACGTCCTGCCCCAGCTGTGCTCTCTCCTGGCCTCTGGAAGCGAGGACGTGCGCCGTGCCTCCATCGCTCTGGTCTGGATACTCTCCCAGCACCCGCCCAACCAGGTATGGGAGATCATTTCCCAAAAACAGAGGGGAAAGACTCGTTCTGGCCACCACCAGGGGTAACACTCTGTTATGGCAAAACAGCCTATGAAATGCAATTTGAGAATGGCCAAGAGACTCTGGGAGCCTTCCCAACCCTTCTCTCTCCTACCCAAAATATCCAGGCTTCGTTTACTGCATCTGCACTATCACCAACTACCTGAGGAGCCATCTGTTGTGCTGAGGGGGATCCCAAGGAGACACCAGTGAGAGAGTAGAGAGGCAGATGGGTGTCAGAGCCGTTGGATATGTGGATACTGCCTTGCACTCCTTGCAACTCTCTCTAGTCCCCTCAGTCCCCAGATCGATGTATGAGGGGAGGACAAACCCAGCACCATGAGAGACTGCCACCATGAGGGCAACCAAGGAAGTTATTTCTTGGCTACAGAGCTTCCCCACCCACTGAAAAGCAGAGAAACTGATTTAGAGCGCACTTTTAAAGTGCAGAAGTGCAGAGCAAAGAGCAAATGTATGTTACTCCCTACATGGACAGTGTTATTCAAAAGTGCATTTGTAGAATATTGACATATTTTGAATTAGCATCAAAACAAAAAGGGGGACTAACAGAATTTGAAATCTTGTCTATCTATCCTAATGCATTAGGACTTTCACCAGGACTGTGTATCCTCATGTCCTAAGTTACAGAACGATTCTTTTGCCCATGTTCAGGGTAAACACCACCATTAATAGTGCAACCCTAGCAAATACACGAAGAAGGCTGGCTGCAATTAAATTACAGCAAGAACTGACAGATTACTCTCGTTTTTAAATAAACTTTTCTTTACAGTAATTACAGACATCCTTAAGAACATAGATGTGAAAGGTTTTGGTAAGTGTTTTAAGCTAACAACAGCATTTGAAAGTAGTCAGAGGTTGGGTACATAGAGCAAAAACACGTGAGAACCTTTGCTGCCACATTGCTTCAGGCAGCAGTGACAGGGTCTGAATAGCTTCAGGTGGCCTTAGGTGCTTCTTGTGCCTGAAATACACTCAGCCTGATTGGGAATTTACTCTGGGTTTGGAAAGCTTGGTGTGTAACAATTCAGTTGTCTGTATGCAAACCAAAATTGCATCTCCCCTATCTCTGGGATGTGATGGGAAAATGGGTGAGCTCAATGCCTGGGAAAGCAGCAACTAGAGCACAGATCTACTCAAGGCAGAGTGGCTGCATGAGCACAGAAGATCCTCATTGCTTGTCAAACTGCCTCATAGAATCAAAACATAATTTGCTCTCAACAAGCTTACAATTGAAATCCATTAAGTTAGTTGAAGGCCATTTGCACAGTAAATATGTTATTCAGTAGCAGACATTATGCTGGAGCATGGTCCTCACTCAGATTTGCTTTTCTGATCTCCAAACATCATTCACATTTTTTGTTCTCCCAGGAAAGAGTGCCCACAAATCCTTTTCTCCCTAGTCCTGAAACTTGTCTTTACCAGTGTTTCAAATCCCTGGCCACAAAGAGATGTGGTCAGCATCAGTGGGAACAAAGACACTGCAAACTCAGCCTCGCTACACCAGTGGTGAAACAGCCCATCTTTCATGAGGGAAAAAGGGTCAGTAGCAGGAGGCTGGAAAGCAAAGCATCTCACTTTATTCCCCAGTGAGAAGTATCTGCATCTCTGAATTTGTTTTAACGAGCAAACACGGCTGTCCCTGACTGCTGAATGTTGCTGCTTTGTGCGAGCGAGCCCTGGGCACTCTGAGAAGAGTCTGACCTCTTTGTATTCATATCCTGCCTCCCCATCTCTCTGCCTTTTCTGGCCTGCTTTTCAAGTCTTTTCAACATTTCATTCTCTAACTCAGGCTGAATTCTCCGTGACTGGAAAAGGGACTTCTCCATGGGAACAACTGTTGGAAAACAAACCACTGAAAAAAGCTAACCTTTACAACCAAGTCAAGTGATGCTTGAATTATTACAAATACTATCCAGGATACAATGGGGCAGGATCTGTCTGCCCTTTAGTTACCATGAAGCAAACCCCCAGGAATGCTTCACAGGAGCTCCTTGCCCTGCTTCAGCCCCCTTTTTGCAATCTTCTGGTCAGGCTGTTGACAGGGATTCCCAGCAAGGGCTGGAAAACTTCCCTCTTGCAGAGGGAATTTTATTCAGTTTTCCCGAGGACAGCCCAACCCTGAAACACTAAAGAAACAGGCTTTGTGAGAAAACAGTCCTTTAAGTCAAATTCCTTTGAGCAAAGACCTGGAAGTCAGGGTCTGTCTATTCCAGATGGTGCCACTGAATCTCCACTCCAGGTACAAAATAACTTTGCCTTGACATTTTGCTAACTGGTAAATGGGATAATATTTACCTTGTCAAGAAATCCCTGTTTAAGGAGTATGAGTGCAGCATTGCAACTGTAAGCACACTTGCTGTTGGAATTTTTTTCCTTGCCTTTATTTTTTTTTAATATTCTAGTCTTTGGAGAAGTTAGATCAATATCCATCTGAACCACTCAATCTATTTTTGCTCACAGTTTTCTCGTGATTCTCTTGCACTGTGCAGAATTGAGCCAGAAAACAAAATCTGGATCTCAGCCATATTCCAGCCAAAAAAAGAAGTTCAGCAAAATTCAAGTACTGTCACTTTCTAATGTAGGTTCTAAATAAACAAAATATCTTGGCAGGGAAGTCATTATGTATTAGAAAGTTCCTTTATAATCCATAGAAAATTTCCTCCTCTCAGGTTGTAACAAATCAAAAACGGGCATCGTAGTTGATAGGATTATGTAGAAAAGAGGACATTTGGCCCCAAAAGCGTAGAAGACAGTCATCAGTGGTAATTTAATTGGATTATCTAAAACTATATTATTTCTTCCTTTAAAGAAAATCTAAGGAAAATTTACTGTCATGTCTGCATATAGGATTCTTTAAATGCCCTGTGGAAGAACTGCCCTTTCAACTTACTTTCCTGTCTTATTTTAGGTTTGCTGGTTGTGACAGTGCTTAAAATGAGCTAAGTGAAGATGTCAGTTGGTATTAAAAGAAAATAAGATACACTTTTGCAATTTAGCCTAAGCAAAAGAAAGATTAAAGTTAAACTAACTTTTAAAGACATCTGCTTTTCAACACTGCTTTAGTGTTCCTGATATTTCACAGGTTTCAGAATTATGTGATTTTTTGCAGCTGTGTATAGGACCAATGATTTGTTTTATATTGAACTCCCTTGCTAATGTGTCTCAGTTTCCAGGCAGTACAAATTATATAGTTCATTGTGAACAAACAGAAGAACTGCATTAAAAACTCCTAAATTCCTAAGGGAAGGAGACTGAATGAAAAAACACTCCCAAGAGGAAATCTTTTGCTTTTAACTGTAGACCTAAAATAAACTCTGTTGAAGTCAGGTTTCTCTTACACACAGCAGTGCTCCCTTAATCCATATGGTTATTGAGGTAACTACCCGTGCAGTAATCCAGACTCCAATCTCATACTACAGGACAAGAGTAATGGCTGCAAACTGAAAGAAAGTAGGTTTAGATTTGATATTAGGAAAAAAGTCCTTACTGTGAGGGTGTGAGGCACTGGAACACGTTGCCCAGAGAATTTGTGGATGCCCCATCCCTGGAAGTGTTTAAGGCCAGGTTAGATGGGGCTCTAAACAACCTGGGCCAGTGGAAGGTGTTCCTGCCCATGGCAGAGGGTTTGGAACTAGATGATCTTTAAGGTCCTTTCCAAGCCAGGTCATTCTGTGATTCAAGTAATATTAGGGGTAATTGGAGGAAGGCTACATTCAGAGAGAGATACCCAGCAAAATACCTCTAAAATATCATCAGACAGCATAGAAAAGTGTGTAAAGAAGATGTTGTTCAGGACATGTTTACTGAAGAGGTGCCTGATCACAAACTGATCTAAAGATATAAACCATTGTTGTAGCCAGGTAAATTGCTGAGCTACTCAAGGATGCACTGCTGCTGTTGCTACTTCACCGTGTAGTTCTGCCTTTCACAGCAACCCTGACAGCCTCTCCTTCCAGTCAGGATCACACTTCCTTCCCCTGACTAGCAATGACCACGGTGAGGCATCTGATGGAAACAACAATAAACTACACAGCCGTGTAGACTGCAGCCTTCCATAGCAAGTGCTCAATAGTCAGTGCAATCAGACCATACTTGAGAGAAGCAGCACTGGACCCAGCCACACCCTTGGTTTAAATAAGCAAACTAATGCTCTTCTTGCAGAGCTAAGTTCAATCTCTCCATAGCTCACTGCAAAGCTGCCTTGTGTTGTCCACACTGGATACTGAGATACTGGTTGTTCTCCTCAGGACACTCTGGCATGTGCTGAGCTACTGCAGAGCCTGGGGATGTTACTGGCAGCACATAAAACAGACCCTGTGATTGTTGGACATACTGCTTGCATCATCAGAAACCTGTGCCTTTCTAAAAACAGACAGGTAGGTACACAATGTTTGTCACTGAACTATACCCTGTGAGGTTGCCATTGTGTTTATGTCAAACCAGCATTAAAAAAATAATTAATGCTGTGGGTAATTAAACATATGCCAATTTGCTATAGATTTTACACAGAGTTGAATATATGAATAAAAGGACCATAATGAAAGGTAGTTCTATTCATATGTTCCCAATACAATACAAAACAGCTGCTAATTAAAATAATAAATATCTAATTTTTGCTATGAATGATGTGGTTACCTAATTTGACTGCATCATAGGTATAAAAAGTTCAAGAAAGAACATTTCATACTGATTAAAGGAATTGTTCAGGAAAATCTGAGGTCTGTTATGAACTAAATCTTTATTTCCTGGCTGTCATGCTTCAGCTGCTGTTCATTGTGAAACAGAACCCCAGCTATTGATGTACATTTTGCCTCTTTGGCAAGATACTAGTTATGCCAAAATGCTATAAAGATCTCTCTTGCTGACTTTGCTTCAAAATCCATATGCAAGGATGCACTTCCTTTCAGAGTACCTTGCTCAAACACTACCAACAGTAGCAATCAATAATGAGGAAAAAACTCACCAAATCCTTACTTCTGCTTTGTTACACTTCCTAGTACACACTTTTAAAGACTCAGTTCTTTATTTCCCCCTTTGTTCACAATACAATTACTACTAGTTCCAGAGATTTAAACCACCCAGAATGAAAATGACGGGGTTTTTTACTAAGATAAGAATTTTATAAATTTCTAATAGCTGTGACATCGAGTTTTGCAGGAAACTAGATTCCCTGAAACTCAAGGCCCACAGTAGGAATAGAAATGGACCATCATTCAAAGTTTGACAAATATAGTCTTTTTTTGAAATACTTAAATTCTGTGACTTTATGCTGTTATCAGCTGGGACCTGCTTTACCTTCAATAAAGCTTTATAGTATAGAGAGTATCAAGCTCTTGCTGCATAAATGAATAAACAGACATGAGTGGGAGTGCCAGGTTTCCAGGATCAATTCTAAGGAATGCTCCCTAAAACACAAGTCCTTGGCACAAGAGGAAAAGGCAGTACTGTTTTTATGCCAGCAGGACAGAAACAGAGTGTGGGAGCTTGAAAAGCAGCAGTCTCAAATCCACCTTGAACCTCTAAGCAGCAAATTAAAAAACCACAGCAAAAAATCAGCATAAAATGAGTATCAGGAAAAGATACTCCATTTTGCTGATAGACACTTGAGCTCACTTAGGGAGCCATGAGCAGCTTCTATTGTTAGGACATCCCAGAGGGCTGATGACTTCATGATTCAATTTCACTAGCAACCAGTCACCTCCAGCTGACTCATTCAGAACTCATTTCTTGGTCTCATTTTTTGCTTTTAGTCCAGGTCAGCACAAGTTAAGCCTCCTATCTCTTTTCAACTCAGTCTATAATATATGTATCTCCATACAGGTGATCTCTGAACAATCCCAGGTGTTTTCACCTGGTTGTGGTAGATCTGGGAGGAGACATTTCCATTATTGATGGTTTCACCTCAGTACTTCTGAAGCCCCCAGACATCACTAAACCCTAATGGAAGTGCTAAACATGCCTCTCTCTCTTGTGGCAGAGAATCACGGAGAGCTGCTGTGTTGAAGGTCTCCTCCAGACCCTGCTTTTGACCGACACTCAGGAAGACTCCCTTCATTACGTGACATCCTGCCTTGCTGAGCTAGCAAAGCAAGGTATGGCAGCAACCCTCCATCAAGGGCTGAAGTGCTCATGTCCTTTATTAATTCTAACAGGAGATGGAGCACAACTGGACACACAGCCCAAGACTTTCCTTTTAAATTCATTTTAAGTTTCAACAACAAAATCCAATTCACTGGCAGGATACATGGGCTCCATTGTCTGCACTTTTGTTCAACTGTTTAAAATTCTTTACTCTAATTTTTTTTTTTGCTGAACTTCACTGCTGTACATGGCCTGTCTTCTATTTGTAACATTTCCCTGTTTCTCAGGCTGAAATAATTTTATCATTGCAGAAACTGATATAAAAGACTAAAATACAAAGTAGGTCTATATCTTGACATTTTTTGCACATGGATTTCATCAGAGATACCAAATTGGCACTCATCAAAGGTACAGCACTCTTTAAAGCAGAAAGGAGGAGTGTAAGTTTTCCCAACATGCCCTAGTATTGGATATTGTCTTTCAAACAGGTCATCTCTTCTCTTTGGTATGATGGCCATGCAGCTGGCAACACATCACATTTAATTTTGTGAGTGGAGCACGCTCCTGGAGTAGCTGCTGGACAGACTGAGCCCAATAGGCCAAGAGTGGATCTTGCACATAAAGTGATTCATTTTTGCAGAACAAAAAGCCAACAAAATATGAACCAAATCCATGGCCTTACCTTACTGAGAGCATAACCTCAGAACATCACCCTTTTTAACAACCTAAACGTGCTTGTTAACCAAGTTCAGCACTTATTTTGCTTCTCCAGTTGCATGAAGGATTCACCATTTCAGCAGTTTCTGGCAGACCTCTCAGCTTCATTTCTTTGACACTGGAGTTCCTATTTAGAGAGTATTCTCTTACCTTTCTGCCTTCCAGAAGGAGCCATGTTACACATGGTCCAGTGGATGGATGAACCTTTGACAAGGTGCTTGGTGAGACTGGCTGGCCAACTGGAACATCCTGAGCCTTCCTTTCATGCTGCTTCCATCATCCAGCACATGATCAGTCATGGTAACTCACACAGGATTAACTGTGCTTTGGAAGAGACTTATGGATGTCTGGAGTGAAGTTAGCCTTTTCCCAAAGGACTGTCAGGCACTGAACAACCTTAAATATTCTTCTATCATCCCCCCACTTGGTCTCTACACATTTTTCAGAGTACAAGTGCCTCTTGAAATAAAACAGTCCTTGAGTTGCATGAGAAACTCCAGGGATGAAAGTGGACCACAGATAAAGGTCTGATTTACATGGGTTTTGCCTTCTTCAAGAACTGCCATTCTGCAGAGCTGGTCCATAGCCAATTCTGAGGTCCTTGCAAACAGCTTCAGTAGGAAGGTGGGAGACCATTAACATACTCCTCACCATGGGAAAGATGAGAACGTGTTTCAGACAAGGGTCACTTCAAATAAGGTTATATCTTGCTGTTTGATCTTCTTTCTCCATATGTAAAATGTGATGGCATCCCTCACAGACAGCAGAGGCTGTGTTCCAAAATTTTAGAATAACTACTCCCTGACCAGCAAGAGAAAAACTCTTGCTGAACCAAATCCTGCTGATATAATTCTAGACTAAATTACCAGGAGAGTGAAGTAAAGTAGTTTTAAGAATGTAGCCAAAATTTTTCAAGTTTCAATGAAAGAGAATAAAAAAGCATTATTTTTACCTGTAGAAAACAGTTTTATGCTTAAATACTTGCCTCATGCAGCTGAGAGCCTTTAAGACTTGCAAGAAAAAGCTGTTCTGATGATACTTGCCACATTCTTTAGAAAGGTATAGTTGGATTTTAGACATTAGACATAAGAAAAACTGAAATGTGTGGTGAGTCCCCATTAAGGGAAATGCAAATCTGTTTCATTTCTAGCATTGAGGATTTGCAACAGAGCAGACTCTTTCTCAGGTAGTCAACAGAATCCAACAGCATAATCATCTAATGGACAGCTTCACCTACCAGGCCAACCACTGTCAATCAGTAGGCCCCTTGCACAGGGATCAGATTTCAGCAGCCCACTCATCTTTTTATTTACTGGAAGTATCAGCAGTATTACCAGAAGCTGTGGTACAGGGAAGTAGCTTGTCAGTCTTTGCAGTAATGTTGGTTTTAGCTGAAGGTGGATGAGTCATTATTGAAATGTTACAAAAATCAGTTTTCAAAGCGCTTAAAGGCTTGTATTGATCTCCAGTGTTTCTCCCATTTACGCAGAAAAAATGATGCTTTTGTGGAAATATCACATTGAAGAGATTCAAGCCTACCTCAAGAATTTTCTTACCCACCAAGAGGTCCGTTTTCAACAGCTGGGCATCTCCACACTCTGCAGACTACGAGCAGGTATGTCCTTCCTGCCAAGGCTGCCTGCACCCATCAGCAGCAAACAGGCACTGCTTAGTGACAGAGATCACAGAATAATTAGGGTTGGAAAAGACCTCTAAGATGAGTCCAACCACTGACAGTGCAAACTTCTCCAGGGACTAGCTCTGCTCACTTAAGAAAACAGAATAATCTCAAGGGTAGCTATTACATGTTTTTAAGCAGCTATTCAAGAGTATCTCCCAATAAAGGCAGGAGGATTTTGTTTGTTTGCTTTAAAACTAAAGGCATTCAGAACAGCAGGGAAATGGGACTTCAGGAAAATCTTATCCTATATAAGAACTTTTGGCACTTATTGGAATAAAATCCCAATATTGCCGGATGGAACATGCCTGGGTTCATCTGACCCTTGCTGCTTGCAACCTAAAAGTTTTTCAAATGTGATTTTAGTTTATTTTGATGAAGCAAGCAAATAAGAAATTTGCATGATTAGCTGATAGTAAAGCTGGGAAGTCTCACATCTTCATATTTCAAAGTCCATTAATATTACTTAATATTATGCTGGGTTAAGTTAGTCTTCTTGTCTTTGGATAAAAGTTGAGTACATGTGAGGGTTATAATGTAGTAATAACTGTATATTGCACATATCTTTATGTATGTAGAGCCAGAGCCAAAACCCCACTATATCTAGATAGGCAGCTGCTGCATAAGGCTGAATTTGGCAACTGAGATTTATACGTCTGGATCAGGAGAATTTAGCAGCAATCTTGAATGGTTGTAGGGATGAAAACTGAATTTGTATGTGCTTTGTGTGGTATTTTTCTGTCTTACCTGTAATAAGAATCACCAACCAACTGTATCTAACCTGAAAAATAAGTTTTCTATGCATCTGCATTAGAACATAGCAAAAAATAGCAGGTTAGATCTGAATAACACCTGTTATTTCTCTTCAGATCCAGACTTTTCATTAGCATTCAGAAAAAGCCAAATGGCCAAACTCCTTGAGCAAGTCCGTCAGCAAACAGAAGAAACTCAAGAGCTCCTTAGGGCAGCTATGTGCCATGAAGACAGTTAATATTTAAGCCAAATGGTTTATAAAAACTTACCAGATACAATGGCCTGAACTTTCAGAGCAAACAACTCTGTTCCTTGCTTCCGGTAATTTTCCTGCTACTTGCAGTTTTGTCATACAAGAGAGATGTCCCGATAACAAGAATTGGAGCAGGTCAAAACACAATTCCTTGCACCCTTTGGCTGGCTGCTTAAGTGTGCTTGAGGACATGGCTACATGTTGAAAAACACCTGCTATGCTTGGTTAACCTTCCATGGCTTGTTTTTGGTTTCTTCACCCCACCCTTCAGAAAAACCAGCACTGTATTAATGAGGTTTTATTCATGCAACAAGCTGATTCCATTGATGAGGCATCTCTCAAGTATGCGGGTCTGCATTCATCTTTATTCTGTTTCTGTTCCATGTCCTGTATTTCAGAGCACACTCCAAGGACGTTAGAAAATAATTAAATCAACCCATACTATAAAGGTAGAAAACTACAAACAGGTTGCTACAGAAAGTAACTGCTGAGGGACAATTCTCAAAGTACAAAAAATTTGTAAGAAACAAGAATAGGTAAAGCCTTTCAGTGATCCTTGTCCACACTACAGGCTCTACTCTCCAGCAGAAGACCAAAGGCATGTTAAGGCAAGGATATGTTGCACAGAGCAAGTACAGAACACAGCAGGAACCATGAATGATTTGGGTGAGATGTGTTTAAGTACAGAAACTTTGGATAAAGCAGTATGGCATTTTCAATGTTCATCCATGACAGGAATTCCATTTTGAAATCTCATGTGACAAACCATGTGCTCAGCCTTGGGCAGGTGGACTTTCTAAAACAAAGGACTGGCTGAATGACACACCTGGGAACAAAAACATCTCATACTGTAAACTACCCCTGTGGGTGATTTTAGATCAGTTTCCAAAAAGAAGCAGTGCAATATTAAGTAATGATATTAGAATGTGTCCTGTATCTGTATTCTTAGGTAATCTCAAACATTATTTCAATGTCTTAGCAAGAAAGCTAACAAATAACAAAGGACTCTTCATCAGGAATGAGGAGATAAAAGACATGAAGCAAACAGAGCTAATGGAGAGCAATGCAGCAGTTGTGATGTCCTGAAATAACTCACAGAGCATCGTCCCTGTGAGCATCAATGCCGTGCAGATGGGAGCACAGAGCTGAGCCTGTCCAGAGCACACAGCTCTCTGCTGGGGAAGGCTGCTGCTCCCAGCCCTCAGAACAGCTCTCTGCACCTGCTACTTGCACCTCACAGAGCAGTTCCACCTCGCCCCTCATGGTACAAACAACACAACCAGTTGCAATAGCAGGCAGAGGAGCTGGCCTTCCTCCCATACCATATTTTATTGTCAAAACCAACACTAAACAGAAGAGAAACTGTTTTCCCTGCATTAAAAGAGGCTTAACCAAAAGATTTAAAAATTCAATATTAAATCCTTTTTAAAATTTCATACACCTACTCTCGATTCCCTTGTTCTTATATTGTATGTCATGCCCTTGAAACAGGAAATTCTTGCTCTCATTTGAATTGACTGGATTGACTGTAATGACAAACTGGTTTTAATCCAGCCCTGCTAAAAAAAAAAAATCAAAGCAAAAAAAGCAAATGTGAGAAATAAAGCCAGCCCATTTTTCCACAAACAGTGAAGCAAATGTGCTGAAGTCTCCCCAAAAATAGGCCAGCATAATTTATAACCAATCCTAAATAGCTCAAGATCAACACAATTTAAACCCGATCCTAAATGAATCCTAAGACTTAAAACTGAAGCTAAATGTAACTGCCTATTTCATTGCTCTCCTTCTTGTTGCAAGTGACTCTGTACTGATTTTCAGTAAAGAAATTAGAGAAAATCTGAAGGAAAATTTTAAGCAGACCATGAGTAGCAAGAACAGTTTTCTATCAGAGATTGACTCTTGCTTCAATTATGCGAGAAAATGAAAATATAAGTAGAAATAAATATTTCAAACAAGTTTTATTTGGTACTTACATGCTATATATAGTTTTAAAGAAAAACTACATATTTTGGACACTTCAAAATATTGTGACTATGTACATGGAAAACTAAAGAAAGCAAGAAAGGAACCCAATTCATTTTACTGTGTCACAAGTTACTATTGAAAGCACTCTGACTGAATGGCTGTTTTTTCCCTTCCATAAATATTCTGGCAGATGAAGTCTCTTTCATTTTATTTCCATTGCTTTTGTCCCATCTCCTCTATAAGATGAACACTCGGCAGCAGCAGAAATTTCTTCAAAAATCCTTCGGCTTTTGTCTCAGAGGATCTCTTCTGCTAGCACAGACTTTCTGCACAGCTTCCTAGAGGCCTCGCTCAGTGCTCACCAGAGGCAAGTGCAGGAATCTTAATGGAAAATTCTCTGTTACCAGGAGCTGAGAGCCCATGAACCTCCATTTTTCCTACCCAAGGCCTCAAGCCTTTGGCGATGCTGCAAACGCAAACACCCAGAGCGAGCTCTGCCTCCAACAGCATTGTTTAGCAAAGCACAAAAACGTGCAAGGTTTTACAGTTCTGCACAATAGCAACCAAAAGTGTGGGATGGAACAATGAATGACAGTAGAAATCAGCATCAAACTAAAGAGAAAGCAACCTGCATCGCTCCTCTTATCACTCAAGCTGCACTGCTTTATAAAAACCACACACTACATAAAAAAGCACAATGACCATTTTCCATTTGCTCTGAAACGAGCAAACCCCAAAAATCCCTGAACCTGCATCATCATCCAAAACTCAAATATCCCAGGTTTCACACAGTCTTCAAAAGTCTGATAAGGCAAAGGAAAAGTCTTCCATCATTGGGAACAGCAGCAATTTACAGGACTCAGAACAAGGTAATTCCTTGTATGTGTGCACACGTGTGTGCACATATGCATACACATCTTTTATAGTATTGTGAACATGGATGTAACTAAAAAAATCAAGTTTGCAGTATCTTTTTCACCACATTTGTCTAATTTATTCAATCAAATTATTTATTTCTGTACTGAGCAAAATTCATAAATACATTATCTAGGAGAACAATAGGTTATCCTCTTGTCTATGAAAAAATAATGCTTTCAAATTTTCACATTTTAAAACCTTTCTTGTTTTGTGTTTTTAGAGAAAATGTGAGAAGATCATAGTGACGTCTCAATTTACAGAATGTCCCTGTAGGAATTACATTTACAAGAACCTGATACAGAAGCCTATAGTTTGCCCCCATAATTAGAGTTCTCTGCAATAACATTTAAACCAACAGGTTTAAATAAAACACCCCATTAACTCTATTTGTAGAGCAATGAGGCATTTATTTTTCAAGTATTAGAACCATAAAGTGTAAAAGATTCTTTGCCAATTTTACAATTATGCCTTTTAAACCAACACCCACCTTTTTTAAAAACAAAAAAGAATCAGTCCCACCACCCAAATCAGCCCGTTACTTTCAGATTCCAGTGTCTTGTGTCTTAAGGAATGCAGAAATATTCATTTACTAACAAAAAAGCTTGTTGGAAATAGCCATATTAAGTAACGCACATGAAGCATGATTTTTCTAGTGATGAAAGCTATTAGAATGGTGATCCAAGTCTATTCCCCTCATTTCTTCTGCTGGTTTTACTAAAGTCCTTCCAAAAAAGATATTCAAGAAATCTTTAAAAAACTGGAGAGAAAAAATAAAACACTCCTTCATAGCATGGAAGAAACTCCACTGACTGCAGAGATGCTCATATCACCTTTGGTTCTTCAGAAGAAACAATCAGATCACTTCTAAAACAGAAGGTAAACATGACAGGTCAGAGTGGCAATTCTTTCTTCAAAATGTTAGGTGTTTATGCAATTATTTTAATGTGAGATGATTTTCCTTACATTTTTAGGCCAGAGAAAAATACAGTGCTATCCAATTTAATTTGCTAAATCAGTATTTGTTTACCTAGCTTTCTTGCAAAGTTATGATGTAATTCAGAAAAACCCAGTGTCCTGGAAACCATCCCTCAATGCCTGCAAGAACTTGATGAGGAAAGCATATCCAGAATTTCAAAAGATAGTTTTTAGAAAGTAGTTACCCCCCTTCTGCATGTGCATGTCAAGCACTGCACTTGCAAAACTGGAACCCAACTGCTGATCATAAGGTCAGAGCAGCTGCTGTCACCTATCACTTCTGCTTGAAAGCACAGGGCAAACCCTTCCAAGCAACTCCAAAGGGCAAAAGTAAAACACTTGTGAAAAGCCCTCATCCAGGAAACAATAAGGCCTCACCACCATTGCACTGCATCTCTATGTGCCCAGCATGCATAGCTTTGCAAAGAGATGTGCTCTTTGTATTGATTTGTTTAAAATTTAAACAAATAAAATTTGTTTAAAATTTAAACAGAGTTTAAATATTAAAAAAATTAGAGTTCAAAAATCCTTAAATGAATAAGCTTATCAATATAAGCTGATTGATAGCTCTGAGACTTCTCTCAATTACAACAAATTACAAGTGTTAGTGAACCACAGCAAACCTACCTGCTGTTTGATGTGTTTGAACACTATCTACCTGAGGCAAAAGAGTGCCCTTATCTTCAAAGGCTAGAATTGGATTCAAAGGAATTTCGGGACTGTTGCTTCCATCATTGTTCATAGCATCCAGCCGGGATGGTTTAGAACCAATAGGCAGGTTCATGATCTCTTCAAAATTATCATTCTGCATAGACATTCCATTTTCATTTGCATTCTCCTCTGGATTGAGATTGCTGAAAGAGAAACATAGCAATTTTTCCTTAGGTACTTTATCTAGAACTGAAGTTTAGTCATCCTCAAAGCAATAGTACAAATGGAAGAGAAGTCTGCATCAATCCCAAGCATTCTTTTAGCCAGTGAAAGCAAAACTATGCTTCTACCACAGTAGGAAAAAATGGTTTTTCAGCCAAGTACTTGGTATTCCTTCCCTCAAACCTGTGGGATAGCAGTTACCTTTGGTTACATGATAGCCAGAACCACAGGATGGACACTGCAGTCTGAGAAGCAACTGCAATGGGAATCAGTAAGGAAATCTCTGCAGCACCACCACTACCTGGAACCACCCACATAATGCAATTTACAGCTCCTAACATCTTTTTCAGATCTCGTAACTGTTGTTGTACCCTTCCTCTTATTGCAAATCAATGTAATCGCCCTTGGATAAGATCACTGTTATTATTATTATTTCTTGGATCTTTTATTATTTCTTCTGCCACCAGTTTTGGAGCAGCTTCTTCTATATGCCCCTTATCCAGAGAAAAAACTCCCCTTTCAATATAGTGTTCCTTTCATTCCCTTCTCTCATAAAAGACCTTAGGGGCCATTTCCAAGGCACTACCCAGCTCCACACTTCTCCGGTTGATACCATCCAAGCCAAAAGAGCCCTCTCCCAGAACCCCTCATCAATCTGGACTTTCGTTTTCCATTTCCCATGTGAGAAAGGTCCATTATGAGCTAGCTGCTGTACATCTCCCCCATCCAGAGCGGCACAAGCACAGACACTCTGCATTTACATGCACTGTCCCCAGATGATATTGCTCACCTCTTGCAGCCTTGGGCCTCCCCTCCCAACCCCTTTATTAGGTGCTGCATCGTCAAATCCTTCTGACTCTGCAGATGACATGTCCTATTCTGCCAGAGAGGAGAAACTAAGGTGCTGCTTCAGCAAACAGGATGACAGTAATGGGACCATAAGCTCCTCAGGCAAGAGCAAGTACTCAACAAATACTCAAAAATCTTGTGATCTTTCACAGGTTCTTCCCAAAGCCCTCAAACAGTTAGATCCTGGCAATCCTGGATGCCTATTCCCTGTCTGGGCCCCATTGCAACTGTTCAGGTTGTTTGGAAATGTTTTGGCCACAAAGGCACAGACGCAATTTTCCTAGATTGAAACCTGGCTACCAATTTCCTCAGGCCATTTCTCAGAAGGCAGCTTGGCTTCACAGGCTAATTTTCTGACAGCACATTTACTAGTCTTAAAAAGAAACCTGCTTGTAATTGGCAGACACTATATTTTCATTTGCCAGCTTCTTTGTACAACTTTGCACAAACAATTAAAGAATTGTTTTACAGTATTCCCCCAGAGACAAAAAACAATCATTGCTCTTTTGAAAGTGGCACTGCTTTTTTATCCAAAGCTCAGATTTCCTGTGAGAATCACATGCTGGTGTTCATATCAAGCCTTCCCAGTTTTTCAAACTATCACCAGTTCTTTTTCAGAAAGGCACTCCCCTTTTTTTCATCTGTGGATATGCTGGGCAAATTTCAAAGTGAAAAATATGTTTCACTGCACTGAGTTTGAGAGCTGGCACAGAAACCCTGCTCGGTGCGACCCTTTTGTGCCAAAGACTCACACGTGTAAGAGGAGGACCAGAATCTGTGAAATGCTTTAGGACTATTAAAAGCTGCTCTGTCATGTATGGTCATTAGTTCATTATTCACTAGAAGGTATCCTGTTATTTACTTTATCTCCATATACTGCCAATAGCCATATCAGAACTAGGATAACAAGCCAAGTTTGATGAATGGGTTAGAAAGAGGTGGAAAGAGAGCAACTGCTCATTCATACAAATCAAACAGTGCAGTAGTTCAACAAGTATTAGAGCAATGAAGAACCCTTTTGCTTCTGCAAACAAAATTTTTCTACCCAATTTATCAGCTGACTTAGTGAATAAATAATTCTTCATAGTTTATATTTATGTGCCATGGCATTGCCAGCATTACACATGGAGTTAGAGAATAATTCATTCAGACCTGAATAATGTCTTTTGAGACAGAGGAGTCTACAATCACAAAGGGGGTACAGAAAAGGAAATCAGAACTATAAATATTCTAAATTTTGTGGTATAAAATCTTCTAGATTCTATGTTGCTTGATCCACCTAAGGACTGGAGGAGCAAATTTAGACTAAACAAGGGAAACAGAAGAGTGGAATTAATTTCTAGTGGACATCTTAGAGGCCACAAGCTCAAAAGGAGATTAGATGAATTCCTAGGAGAGTGGTATGCCCTTCAGCTTCTGGTAATTAGCAGCTTAGGGACTACTTGAGCCTATGGTTGCATTTGGACCACAATGCTTAGCAACCCTTCATTGGCCAGAGGATCTCCTGGTAATTACCTTTTTTCCCCCTCTACATTGTGCTACAGGCCATTAAAACAAAGAACACAAAAAAAAAAAAGAAATTATTTTTGACCTGCTACAGCTGTTCTTACTGTCTTACATTCCATTCTTACTGTTGTCTAAGTGTCTAATCAACACCAGAGATATCCTTTTCAGGCATACAATGTTGCAGAAAGAACTGGATAATTTTGGCATTCTAACATATTCCATAAGTGTGCGTGTAGCAAGACACTTATGTAATAGAGGGGAAAAAAAAGTTGTCTAAGTTGTTGAGAATGCATTTCCAAACATAACAGTCTTGCAAGCATCTGAAGGACATCTCCATGGCAGCTGAAAAGTATCTCTGTAGCTTCCCATTTTGACCTGGACACATCAATATTAACAAGACAGACTGGAGGATGTTGGGAAAAGGGAGCCAGTTTAATTAAAGAAACTGGAACATCCAAACACTTAAAATTACTGAAAATTATATCTGTTGTAGATAATTTTAGCCAAAACTCTATGCAGACACAGCCTGAAATTAGAATTTGAAGAGACTAAAAAATAAAGAAAGCCAGAATTCAGTATATCTGCTTCCGATCATTCATCAGAAATCAACACTGAATAGGAAAAAACAGATTCGCAGGCCTTTGAAAAACACTATTTTCACAGCTGTTACTTCTGATCTGAAGGAAAATGTCAGTCACCCCATTTATTGAGAGGATTTTTGCAGAGGAGACATAGATAGACATTAACAGCAAAATGTATTCCAGACTTCTGGATTATTTAAATAAATGGTGCTTATTTTTAACCCACTGAGACAACAGCACTGAAACCAGCCAGTAATGAGCAGCTTTCTTTTCCAGGACAAGATATGAAGGCAATCACACAGACCAACTGTATATTTCTAAAAACTGGTTATCTAACCTGCCCAGACCCAGCTCCATGCACCCAGGATGGAGACACGTGAGGTGAGCTGCACTCACTGAGGTGTTTGCACTGCATTGCAAGTGTTTGTAGAAAAGAGCACAGAAAAGAGGAATTACAGAGTAAGTACCATAAGGAAAGTGCTGTCAACATAAACCACTGTAGTGAAATAACTTCTTCTCAGAAGTAGCAAAGAATCTTGGGCAAAGAATTAGGGAATGGAGTATAAGCAAAAAATCTGTAAGTGGGCTATGGATTAGGCTTCTGTAGGGTTCTGCATCACTCCATCCTCTCACCCACACAAGCACATGACACAAATCCCCCAGGTAACACCTTTTTAACTTCTGGTCAGAAACCTCAGCACTCTTGTCCTTAAAAAATGAAGAAGTATTTTTCAGACAAGAGACAAATCTTGCTGAGGGCCAAAGTGAGGTGCTCACTCAGGAGACAACGTGCACCCACTGCCCCTGTGTGTGCTACTATGTCAGGTGTATCTGGATGCCAGACAACCACAGCACACAAGATACAGTAGCAGTGGTGTTGGCACCTGTGGCTTTTACCATGTGACAAAAATCTGTGGGACACTACCAAGTGCTTCAGGCTTCACCTTCCCAGTCACTGTGGATGTACCTCTGAAGCGGACACATTCCAACCTGGCATGCCAGCTTTCCCTTCCACAACCTCACATGTGCTTCCTACTTTTGTCAGTATTCCTCAATCTCATTTATTCATTCTTCACTGTGGTCACTCTGAGGTTCCTCCCACGCAGATTATAATGGTACAGGACAGCACTCATTAGTGTGGCACATTTTATATTTCAAACATCAAGGTGCTTGTAAGGCTGGGAGTGATTAACATTTTAATAGCTGCCCAAGACAATTACGAGGCAGCTCTGTGCAGCTCATCCAATGCACCTCAGTGTCACTGACAGAACTTCCCTCAGCAGGAGCATCCTTGTCAGCATGACAGCAGGCTAAGATCCCGCAGGCATATGGAGGGATCGAGAAAGGGCAAATTCTTCCTTCAATTAGTGCCAATCATACCCTGAAGCATACTGTCCATTACAGACTGCACAATGGCTTCCCACATTCAAGTTTTTCCATGCATATTCTGGCACTACCTACATAAAACATGAAAGGACTGTGAGATTATTTGGCTTTCTGCATCACTAAAATTAAAATAACTGACAGCTCATGCTTATGTAACAGATGTCACTCAGTTCAATATTGAGGTTTCAAGCTTTTCAACAATTTCTCAGAGTGGCTTGCTTCATGGCTACAGAGAGCTCCCAATCTATAATATCTGCCTCCTCAAATACTCCTTATGAGGAACAAAGGTGTTTTTTTAAAATGCATAACCAAAGTGACTAATCCTGTATAACACACAAAGGACATATGTACAACACCACTTGCTAGTACTTCAAGCAGTTTAGAAATCAAAACATCTAGGCTGAAACCACAGTATTTGTTATTTGAATTAAGAAAAGCAGTGCAAGCCCAGAGTGGGTTTTATAAGCTTAATTCAGGGAAAGAAACAGAAAAAATTCCCTTTCCATTAAGTTTCAATAAATGTAACAATGTTTTTGCTGCCAAAGACATTGTTCCAAACGCTGCAAAGAACATGTTCTATTTTGTAAAAAATTCTTCCCTATCATTTAGCAAAAATCAGTTACTACTCCTTGAAATGTGATAAAGTTCTTTCCTTAACAGAGGAAAAGATAAAAACCAGGAAACAAGGCAGATTGAACAGTTGCTTCTTATTAAATTAACGAACTCACGGATGTGAATATGATTTATTATTCTAGCAGCCCTGTGCCCAGCCAGGGCTCCTCGTGGCACCTGGCAGCGTTTTACCTGTCCACGTTCCCGGGGGGCTGCTGCGGAGGCTCCCCACACACGCCGGCGGCCGCGCTCCCGTTGTGGCTGTGCGGGGCTGGCACCGCTGCGTGCTGCAGCGGGGGCCCTGCTGCCGGCTCCGGGGGACACGCAGGGCTGCCTGCGACTGGGCACAGAAACACAGGGTTGCATTAAACCAAGCAGCAGCCTCTGCCCTGTAGATTGGGGCGAAATATTTTCTACAAAAGCCAGCACGGCTTAAGCGAGTTACAGTTTCAAAAAAGTAGAGGGTTCGCACACCCCTCCCCACCCCTCTGCCCAATTCCATCTCCTTTGTCAGCTTTTTGGGCACACAAACCCTGTTTCAAGTCCAAAGTAAATGTCAGAAAGCCAGATTTCAAAGCCATAGCTTTGTGAGCAAGAATAAACATTTTACAATCATATGCACAATTCCAACATATAAGCCAGCGGGCAAAGGAGGCTGATATCTGATAGAATGCTATGCTGGCACTTTTCAAGTAGCAATAGAGAATGGAATAGAGCAAAACTTGGATATTACTAATTCCATACACTGGTATTTCTTGATTCCAGTGACTGGATGGAACTGAAAAGGAAAAGGAAATGAAGAAAAAAAAAAATCTCCATTGGGAAGGACACTTCTTTCAATAAGTACCAAATGATTACTGCAAAACATTGCAGAGAGAAACATAAAATGGGATTATCCCTGTCCCTCATGCCAAGACCACGTAATACATGTTTCTGGCCTGCCTTGTGGCTTTCTTTTAAAGTACAACTACAGCCTTCTGCATTGTATTTAGAATCCCTCTATTCATATTCAGCTCAGTAAGAGGAAGCAACTGCACCCCACCCTGCTAACATCGGCCACAGTAATTGCAAGGACAATTCAGTATTCATAGGCTTGAACACATTTATCTACATTACCCAAAACCTCGTCTGGTAAGCCCCTCCTTCAGCTGCTCAATTTCACTGTACTCCAAACGTTTGGGCTGAAGACTTTTATACTGAATATCTTAGTGTGACCTTTGGCCAGCTTTTATATGGAAGATACTAGAAATAGAGGTTTCTGTGCTTCTACAAATTGAATAACAGGAAAATACTTTTGCTTTAACGTTTAGAAGGAAAAAGCAGAAAAAACAGAAATGAGGAACAATCTCGTATTTTTGAAGCAGAGGCCAAACAAATGACAAAAAGCTGATGGATTTTTTTTCATTGCGTGATTTGCGCATTCCCATAAATGCCTCCTCAGGTTTTGGCAAACAGTAAGACTTAAGAAAAAATTTTAAAAACAAATTGTTTGTGGAGAGTCAGGCAAGTTTATGTGGCTAGAATATAGCTTTAACTCAATGGTACATATAGATAATGCAAAGTCAAACAGCAGAGCAGCCCTGAGGCTGAGAGCAGTTTTCTCTTTATTCAGTCATTCAAGGACTCTGGCCTTCTCTTGGGCCTGGGGAAATGGAGATCCAAAGTTTCCTCTGCCTTAGGAAACTGATAGAAGACTACTTTTTGTCTGTCTCTAGAGGGAAAGCACTAGCCAACGGTGGTGGAAGCCTTTATAGTTTCAGGAATTCTTTAAATGGTTTATAACACCTTCAACAGTGCCCAAAGACAAAGATGGCATCCCAGATGAGTACTGTATCAGTAGCTCACAAACCTTTCTCCCCCAAGATAATATGTAAATAAAGAAACACAGGTAATGAAATCTGTGTAAAAAAGGCTTCCTGACAGTACTAATTAGAGTGTTCACTTTAAAAATAATAAAAAAAAAATCATCCATCAGTCAGTGCTGCTGTCTTCCCTGTTACTCAACCCAAATACAAAGGAGAAAAAGATTAATGTCATTTAATATATTATGCTACAATAGGATAAGCCATTTGATAGCTTGCCTTCAGTATCTTTAAACAGTGCTAATTCACACCTGGTGATTGCTGAATATAAACTACATGTTATTTTTCTTCCTTTATTATAAGTATATAATAAAGGAAAAAATATATATTCTTATATAGAAGATTACCTAAAAAGAAATAGAGGGAATGGAGTAGAAGGGAAGCGTAAGAGTGTGGGTGTGACAAGACTAAGCTTTTATAGCAGCTCAATTTTGTCAAAAAAAGAAATAAAGACCAAGTGAATAAGGCAGCAGGTGTGGAAGAAAGAAGTCACAGGGAGATATTTAGAACAATAAATGCTTTGTTGTAATGACTAACAAGAAATAATAATATTTTAAGAAAGTGGAGTAAATCTGCAACAACCCCATCTGAAATAATATAAAAAACAAAATGTAGAATCAGTTTATTTTGTGATCCAAACCACAAAAGAATTTCTTTTCACTATATAAGTAATTAAACTTATTAAGAAAATTCCTTTTGCTAAACATCAATGTGACAAAGTTGCTAAAACATTGGACTCATTTAGTAATGGCTAACTACCTATACAGAAAGCTAAATAATTAATGTCTGCTAAGATTTCATTTATATTCCTCTCATAGTTTTTATTACTGCAGTTAGTGTGCCAAGTTTCAAAACTGTTTCTCAAATCATTGTGCTCAGTAGGCATTTATTCACCTGTTGTGCTCAGGGCACAGTTAAACACAATACCTGTTTCTCCAGTAATATTTGCCTTTGATATATGTCCATTTTGCTGGTCATTGGATTTCTACAAAGGAAGCACAGTTTTGTAAATTAAGAATGGCACTAGGGAAAAAACCAGAAACGTGTTCAACATTTATACATGTTAAGTAGCAGCACTGACCTTATCTACAGCTTCTACACGCCTAGTTCTCTTCATGATCTCCTCAAGCCTCTACAATGAAATGTAAAGGAGTAAAATAATGTTTGGTGGCATTAATTTGAATATCTTTCTCCCAAACCACAACTGCTTGTCATTTATCAGCTGTATGCGTTTATTGCAAAAAATGAATTATTTATTACTGTTGGCAATATTCCCTTCATTATCACATCAGGCCATTGAGGACTGCAGCCTTTCTGAGAGCACATTTACATCATTTGCTTCCTACTGCTCAGGTGGAAACAGACTGCTAAGGCACAACCAATCACAGTTTCTCTGCATGGACTGAGTTACCTTTTTCCTTTCCAAGCGCTCTTGCTCTTCTCTTTGGAAATGCTTTTCACGTTCTAATCGAATCCTCTCGGCCTCCTCCCGCAGGCGAGCTTCCTCTTCTTTCTGTGTTGGTGGTAGAAGAAAAAGAAGTGAGGAAAAATAAGTGAGGAATGACAAGTTTTATACTCTATATAATTGTGTGTGTCTACAACATCCTGAAAACACACTTTTGGGGCTTGTGAGTCAACTAACATATTTTCAAATGGAATTGTGCATTTCTTGATTAATTTCCATGTTTTGCATAGTATTAAGAGGGAATAACTAAACAATGAACATCATGTTTGGTTCTGTGCCTGTTCCAGAACACAGCAGATGACAAATAAGGAATAAATTTTCTAGCCTTCAGCCTTAAAACAGCAGCTAGGAAAGTATTAGAGAGATCCATATTTTGTGTAGTGGATATTTTTGAGGGTAAAATAAATGCAGCAGAATGTTTTGTTTGGGCAACAGAGCAACTATTTAACAGGATCAAGGGCAAACAGCCACAGGCCCATTTGCACAAACTTTCTATTTCTGCTTTTTTAATGAAATGCAAAATTTGTCTGGAATATACTGGAGAGGGGCCTTGCTCCTTGACTGGGACAGTGTTATATGATGGAACTACTACAATAGATAATTTTTTGCATCTCTAACATCCAAAGTAGCCTTGGCCACGTGCTATCTTTGAGGGCTAAATTGAGTTAAACCTCAGTTTAACATTTCAAAGAAAGTTGCACAAATCTTCTGGAAAAGAAGAATGGAATTTCTCAGCCATATTCACTAACACAGTCCTTTAAGCATTTATTATCAGAAGTATACATTTATACATCAGAAGAAAAACTTCATGTCTACATGGCAAATTGAAGTTCTGGATTGTGGAAGAACAAAGCACATGCAAGAAGTAATAGGACATGTGAGAAGAGAAGAATCCTATCCAGAATGCTTACCACAGCCTCTCCTGAAGTCAGTAAATCAACATTATGCCCATCAAAAATGAAAACACTTGAAAAACTTAACTTTCATTTATTATGTCTTTTGACTGATTTCTGGAGTACTGGGGCAGATAAAGGTTCTCCTTGGTTTGATTAAATCTACCCCTTCCCACCAGCCCCACACAAATGCAGTATTTGACATAGGATTAGAATTCAACATACTGAATAGTTATCTTTAGATCTGGACTTGCTATAACTCTTGGGACAAAGAATTCTCTGGTATAATAGCACTTATCAAAATTCCCCAACACAACTATATCGATCTTTTCATCCTAATTTATGAGGAATAAGAAAGGATTTGTTCAAAATACATTGAAAAGGGAGAGAGGGAAAAAGAAAACCCAAAACTCAACTCCCTACCATATGTTTCGGTCAAGAAGAAAGATCTCTACTCTTTGAACGACTCAATGGAATGAACTCTGTCCCAACACTTTTCAGATAGCATTTAAATTGTAGATATTGCTCTAGTTTAGGAAAGAAGTGCTGCTACACCCACTTTGCTGCCCGCTAGACTGGCCCAGAAATTCCAAGAGGGAAGCATACTTGTCTCTGAGCACGCTCCATCTCTTCTTTCTCCCTCTGCTCTCTCTCTTCTGCCTGGCGGCGCAGCCGCTCCTCCTTTTCCCGCTCCTCTGCATCCTTCCTTTGTTTTTCTGCTTCTTGTCTGCGAGCTTCCTCCTCCTCTCGGCGAGCTCTCTCTTCAGCTATCCTCTGTGACAACTCCTCTTTCTTTTGTCTGCAATCATTAAATAAGCATAAGAAAAACAGGTAATAAAAGTAGGGAGAAAAGCCAAACCACCAGGTTCCTGATCTAGCACTGCTGTCCCAACTTGATAAAGGGTGCACTGCTGTCCTATTCTGTTCTGCTTCCCATAGGGGCCAATATAAAAAACTTTGCAATTCAACACCAATACTTTTCCAGCATATCTCTGTCTAATTGATGACTTGCACACTTTCTGAGTCAGAAATAGTATCTTTGATTAACACATTCTGCAAAACACTCCTTTCTGCTATAATCATATTTTAAAAAGTATGCATTTTTGTCACCCATCTCACTTCATTGATTCCTTGATTAAAAAAAGTATCTAATTCTGCCAATTTTTGAAGGTTTCCTCCCAAGCTTACTAACGGCCCCTCATATCCTTGTGTTATGAAGTGAGTGACTTTTCCCTTCACCTTTGATGTTTCCTGAATTATTTAGGACTTTTTAGCGTATCTTCCCAGCTGAAGAAGCCTCACCTGCTTAGTAGATTTTTATATGAGAACTACTTTGTGCTTGTGATTTTCTTTGGTGTCTGTCAGCACTTACTTTTCTAGTTTTACTAATTTTACAATTGTAAAGAAAAAATAAAACTCAACATTCAAAACGTAGATTTATCTTGGGTCATTCAGAATGACATTTTCATTTTGTTTTTGAATATGTTTCACATATTCAACTCCAAACAAGATCTCTTCCCTCAGAAATAATTCACTCAGAGACCAACATCAGTAGTCAAGTTAGGATTATTTCCTATTCCTACATTCCTTTATGCTTATTAGTACAGCAATTCAGCTTCCATTTTGTAAGACATGGCTCAAACTGTTCACAACTGACTTATCTCACTGGAGACCAACATCATCTCACTGGCCTCAACTCCTTCCAAGTTCCTTTATGAAGGCACTGCACAGACACTGAAAACTCCTTTGTGTGAAAGCTGATTATTCTTTACTTTTTATTTTTGATCTTTCTGACTTAGTATTTATTCACTGTATTACTCTTACGCCACAGCAGCTTTTTTTCTTTAAAACTCTTTTTGAGAGAGTCAGTGTTGTGAGAATTTTGGAAAGCCAAAGGCTATTTCAAAAAAGGCTATTTTAACTAGTTCTGCCTTGCTTCTATTAGCAAAGTGGTTAAAGAAATCCTATAAATTCCAGAGGCATGGCGGCCCTCCAAAAAACCACAACTTGTAGACTTGTAGCCAGAGTCATGAGTATCCTGATGGGCTACTTATTTGCTATTAGAAAGTGAGATGTAACATTAATTATCCTCCAAAGCCTCTGGGAGGGTGTTGGCGGTGTCTTTATTTTAAACAAGAAAACAAAGAGGTCTAAGTCACACCTAAAGCACCACCCACAACAGAGATCTTACAACTCAAAGTAAGAGGCTTTGTGCTGATCACAAAGTTGAAAACAGCCGTGCAGAGTTCTCTAGCCAGAATAAAAAAGTACAGCTTTGTTAATCTCTGAGGAAAAAAACAAATCACAACTGCAAGGATCTACTCTCTCCTCCTGACTTATTTTAAAGCTCTACTTAGAAAAAGTTTTAACCTTACACATCTGCTTAGGTACCACCACCAACTGAAAAACCCAACAGGAAAACATGGTTTTGGGGAGGAACTTGTGCCTTCCGCACTTCAGTCACTTCAGTGCTGTGCTTCACACATAACAAAGTAAGAGCAGAATACACACTGCTAACAAGCTGCTAAAACATCTACGTGCTTCTCTAGTGCAGAGGCCTGGAATTACCTTTCAAGCTCTTCTCTCTCCCTCCTTTCCTGCTCCTCCCGTTCCCGCTGCTCGCGGGCGAGGCGCCTCTTTTCAGTCAGCAGCCTTGTTGCTTCCTCAGGGTCAGTTGTACCTGCAGAGGGCTTGGGCAGTGCTGGGGCTGGAGAAGGAGCTGGTGGGGCAGGAGGTAGGGATGGGCTGGCTGCTGAAACAAATGGGAAAGAAAATTAGTTTGTACAGACACAGTAGCCAAGATGTCACTCTCTTGAAAGGAACATACTTCTAAATGCACGGCAAAGTGTTTTAAAGCCTATGTGGCTTTTTAGTGATTTAGAGGAAGAAGTTTCTAGATGCCAGAGGTTCACATACTTCAGGGAAGTTTGGTTTTGTAGGGTACTGGAAAGCATAAGCACCTGAAAGTGTAAGTCAAGTTTTCTTGACTTTCAGAACAAATGCTGACAGGTGCTTAACAGCAGTTATGCTGACTCAGCAAGTCCCTACCATCACATTACTTAAGCTTGCCCAATTCTGTTTGAAGAGCAGAAATAAAACATTGTGAAATTATATTTCCTTCTGTCTGATCATCCACATCTGGAGATCAGAGCCAGAATTTTTGGTGATAGTCACTTTTGGTGACTTGGTGATCTCAAACGTAACTGCCTGATGTGATCTGCACCAATGGTAGGACAACAGCTATCATCAGCTCTGCAAGCTGCTCCAACCTGAGGCAACTCATGCAACACAGCATTTTAAATTTTGCCACTATTGGTGAACTATGGCTTGTGTTCAAATTTCAGTAGTGCCTCCATATCAATCCTTTATTCAGGGCCAGCTTTGTCCATGCGGCAGAGAAGATGTTACAGGTTTTTTTCATATTTCTCTAAGTTTGCCTGGCATTCTCTAGCACAGGTACAGAGTGACCTATCACCTTTTCTGTAGACACCAGGGACCATTACCAACACACAAGCTAATGTTAGGAAGCATTCCCAGAGTAATTCCATCTGGTAATGCAGGCAAACATGGAGAGGGGAGACTTTGAACTGTCAATGAAATCAGATTCTGACCCAGTAATATATTTGTAAAATAAGTCATAAGGAACAACAAGCAGATGATTACAAGTCTGCATTTCTAACCATACACTGAGACGTGGCAATTTTCCTAACCTCACTAACAACTTCTAAAGAGGAGTCTCCTCCCTGATTCCCCCCTTCCTATACCTCATCATGTAAACAAACAAATTCATTTGTTTTCTGTGCTGAATTCCCATCTGTTGACCTCTCTGCTATCCTCTTCTATCAGCTAAAAACTACAGAGGTCTTTCTATAACTGCTTCAGGGCTTTGAACATGAATTTAAATGATACTTCTACACCAGTAATTCAAAGAGTGACAGTGCCTGTTCTCTAGCCTTGAGGTGAGCTGGCACAGTTTAGCCCTAGTGCAATGGAGCACTATTCTCTCACATCACCAAAACAGGTATCCAGACCAACTGCAGGGAACAGTCCCGAGCTGGGCTAACCTCCAAGATGTAGCAGGGAACTTAGAAAATTCTGGGATGTTGAAATAAAAAAAGGTAAGCAATTTGATCACTGAATCTTGGGAGCCATTTAGAGCCATGCTCTCAGTAGCCTTGGGGACAGAAGGTAAGAAAATGAGAGGCTGCAATTACAGCCTGGATCAGAAACATACCAGAGAGCCTTTGTAATTGTAAACAGTATAAATGACAGAGCTCCTGTACCTCAGCCCTTTTTAATTTACTAACATGGGCCAAGGCAGGGCTGTTGCTCTGAAGGGAGCACAGCTTTGTGCTGCTTGGAGCTCGCTTCTTGCCCCAGGCGCTGAAGTTGGCAGCATAACAAGCAGCTTAATGCACACCTGCCCTGCTGTCAGAACAGATAACACCCAAAAGACCTAGAAAGCTTCACTGGCATTAGTAAAGTTGTGTATGAGATTTGCCTGCAAAAGCTTGAGCAGCTTCATCAGCAATTGCTACCTGCTGACCTCCTGGCTCCTGTGAGCACAGAGCCAGCAGGCAGCCGAGCCAGACCAGCGAAAGGCAGTGTGTTACCTGTAGGGAATGAGCTGTGGTCACCTGCAACACAGTCCCAGGAGAATCAGCAACATTCCTCTAGCCCCATATGCTGTACTTGCACCTCTCTAGATTCTTTATTCAACCAGTGACAAAGTTTTGGCAGCTAGAACCTCCATTGGCAGCACAAAGCCATCCTATAACCTCACATGTAAAATGTTCTGCCTGAGGTCTTCACCTTTGGTCCCAACCATCACCTCTTCTGGCTTTGGGAAAACACATTCAATTTGAAGGGCTGCTCACTGCTTTGACTATAGTACCCTTCTCTTTCATTTGTCTCCACTTTATATTGTTGTTTGTATTCTTTGATGTGAATACAAACTGCTTGATTTTTGAATACCTTTATCACATATAACTTGTTTCAATACTAAGAGATCTTGTCACAAACTCAAATATTGACAGATGCTGCAAAGAAGTGGAGCCTCTCTTCCTGAACTAAACAGTCAAACAAGCATGATGGTTTTCCTGGTTGGCACCTTGTACTGGAGAGATACAACTTGTAAACACTTGCAAATTTATCTCAGCGGTATCTCTGAAATGGTCTTAAAAGGAAGTTTTCTCCTCCAAAAGGAAGCAGGCAAAAGATAGCAATTAAATCTCCTTTGCATGCCCATGGCCAACAGATACATCCATTCACCCTTTTTGTGGGATTGCACCTTCTGTAGTAGGACTTGTGTATCAGACAGGAACTACTGTAACAGGACTTAATAAAACACAAGAAATCAATTCAAGTGAGATTTTTTTCACAGAACAGCCCCAAACTATACCTGCTGCAGTTGAATGCAAGATTACTAATACTTAAAAGTGTTACCTGAAAGACACATACAGGGAAGTCTACGAATTTTAAGTTCAGAATCGTAACTAACCCAACTTGTGTATCCCAGTGGTCACACTGGACTTTCTATCTCATCTGCAAGAGACCGTTTATACATATTTAGAATGAACTAAATTGTCTGCTAGAAGAAACCTATTTTTTTCATTTTCAGATTTGCCTTTTGCCCTTTCTACACTTTACAGTCTTTTTTTTTATGTGTACATCCTTTTCTGCACTGCTACTTTTCAAGGTTGGTAGGGTTTTGTGTGGGTTTCTTGTTCACTGGTTAACTATTTTTAATAACTCATTTTCCCTTAAAAATTCTCCCTATTCCTTTTTACTCTTCTCCTTGCTTCTTTGCATTTCACTATATTCTGCTAATCTCTCCTGTGATATGGTTCTCTTTCAATATTATACACAAGCCAGCAGTGTTACCAGCACAAGTGCACTCTGTCTAGCAGAGCAGGACATTCTCACTGCTCACACACCTTATGTGGTTGCTTCCTGTACCATCTTCAGACCATTATTATTCTACTTCAACAGCTTGTAAAGAAGCTATGTTATGATATGGGGGACAAAATTCCTGTCCAAAAGGGCAGAGAAAAAGCTTGTGAAGCTACACTGTGTGAGGCAACTTGGCATGTTGTTTTGACTTAGAAGAATGAGGGCTTCAACCTGCCTACAATTTCCTCATCATGAACATACATCAATAGGAGTGTTGTGAAGAATTCACAGAATTCTTTGACAGAAAAATACTGAAAGCTACATAATTTCAGAGAATGGAAAGGAAAAATATAAAACATTCCTCATCCTAAAGTAGGATGTCTCCTTACCTTCAATTAGCTGTGCTTGGACAGTGAGTTGCTCCTGACTTGTGGGTTCTCCAGCACCTGCTGAAGTTCCTTTACTCTCTTCTGTCCTCACCTCATTGGCCTTTTCAGCCTCCTTTTCTGGTCTTTTCTTCTCACCCTCTGGTTTGATCTCTCTTTTGACTGGCCGGATGTTGCCAGGAGAGGGAGGACGTGTCTGAGCAGAGGAAACTTTGGAGGAACCAGGTGGGGAAGTTATCTGCTTGGGTGTGCCAGGCAAAAAAGGCAAAGACTTTGATGCATGCCTGTGTAATCAAAGAGTGACAATGCTGGTTTCCACTTATATATCACATCTACAACCATAGCAGCTAAAAATAAAACCACTTCTCTGTTTCTCTATCAGCAGGACTGCTGGCACAACCGATTTGGTTTCATGCAAAATGCCTCTCTCCAACTCTCCAGATGTGTGAGCACTGAGCCCAACCAGGAAGGAAGGAACCAAGTATTTTCCTGCTCCTTCCCTTTCTCCAGAACAGTAGCAAGATATTTTAAAAGCAGAACTGTCTTTCCCTTTCTTTACAGAGAGAAAACATCTACATCATCAAATACATTTGCCCTGTTTCACATTTGATTAATAGAATAATCAGAACTGCCTCTAGCTCATGTCCAGCTAAGCATGTACTTGACTTACCAAACTGGAGAGGGAGCTGATGATCTAGCTTTGAGGCTGGAAGTAAAATGACCTCCTTTAAAGTTGGCTGAGAAGCTGGATGACAAATGGTCCTTTTCTCTTTTGTCAGTCTATAGCTCAGCAAACAAAAAGACAAAGTCAAGCCAGAGGTCGCAAAGCTAAAGAAAGCAAAGCAAGCTTAGTTAAGGACAAGGAGTTGGGGGGCTGAGAAAAAGCAGTGCTGAGTCAGTGGTTTCTACAGCTTGTTTAACAAGTTCCTTAATATAGCTCCAGTAACCTGACACCATCTTTGCCAGTAGATGTGCATTTGACAACAAGAATCCTTCCTAACCATTCTCTCCTGTCCTAAGATGTAATGGGCTAATTTGCAGAGGCTTATTTTTACACAGGCAAAACAATTACCTTTTATAGTTTGATCTTTGCTGACTGCCACAGAGTACCTTCCACTGCTTCCCAAAACCACAGAATTTCTTTCGAAGAAAACACAAAACAAGCTCCCCCTCCCCTTGGCTCATACTTGGTCACAATCTTTCTATATAGCACAATATTTTGGACTCATGCTTACAAGTGAACACCACAGATGTCCTCAAAGCTTCCAAATATGGTACACCAGCTATCCTAGTCTTTCTTTCCTTGGATGCATACTTTTTGCCATTGGTTCTTATACATGATAGTGATTTCCTTTTTCCTTCTTTATTTTTAAAAAATAAAATCCTAAATTGAGAAACATTTCTAATAACACAAACCAGAGCTACAAAAGAACAACTGCTTTAAGGCAATATATCAGAATTTAAGTATCTATATACTCCCCATATTTAAGTATAGATGAAAAACTTCACAGTTTTGAAATAAGGAGCTCAGACCCCAGGAGTCTGAAGACTAGGAATGCTGGAAAGTACACTGAGCTGCCACTCAGCCAGCACAATGCAGGGGCTGCTGCTCACCACCTTGGCTGGGGCTTAAACACAACCCCTGTAGCAGGTGCATCATGAGGCTTGAGAGCTTCACCAGCTGAAAGCTGTGCAGTGCTTGTCCCCTGAACTGAAAGCCAGGTTAACAGCTGGAAAAAAAATGACTGAAAACAACTTCATGAGCACATGATGTGCTGAGTTATCAAAGTAAACACAACCAGAACAAATGCACTACAATGAACAAGAGTTTTGGCTTGCTAGCAGTAATGCTCTATTGTATCTACTTTATTAGTATTGAAAGCAGAGCATCAGAAAATTTTTCCTCTTATCAATAAAGTAAAAAGCTGAATTAATACAGAAGTTCGCAGAAGCATAAAAGATCCCCCACATCGTATAGGCTACTGGAAACAGCTCTTAACTCACTCATTTTATATCAACAAGAGTTTCATATCACCTCCTCCACCAAAAAGTAACAACCTTTCTTCTAATTTAGGGAGGAAAAAAAGCCAAATCCCAAACCTCTTGCAATCAGAAAGACTTAAGAGGAAGAACCAACAGGCCATGCTCTATGCACATGCTAGGAAATTTCTCTATAGATACATACTAAGGCTATGCCTTAGCTTAAACTTCAGTATACTACCTTCTGCCTGAAAGATTAAGTAGAGGCTATGACTTGTGGCACTTAGACTAACACTACTTCCAACAAGGATGGCAATAGCAGCACTGCCTCTTGACCTTCTGCCCATCAAGCCAAACAAAAATGCAAGCACCTCTTACACAATGTTTTGCAGAGATTACTTCAACTCTTCTCACACACTAACTCAGGTTGTGGAGTACAAGAAAAATAAACTGCTCAGGTTCAGCAAATGAATCTGAACTGGGTCTGACTGCATCCTATTGGCTTGGAGCACAGTCAACAGGAGTTTGTTCTACTGTTTCGATTTTCCTAAAAGTTTAGATCAGCCCTAGTACTGCTATTAAATCATTCAGGATGAACAGTGACCTGTGGAAAGCCTTGCTTATAAACCATGCTCTTAAACCAACTTCTTCCTTCCCAGTGAGGAAACATTTACTAGCCTTTCTTAGGTTCTGGTACCTAAGAAAGTACAGATGAAGTGAGAGTACTCTATGCACTTGTGACAGGGACATGTGAGTGCATGCTTTTCCTCCTCTCTTTATTCCAGGGGCTCAGCTGAATTTGCTAGAAGCCTCAAAAGACATCAAATTCTGGAACCTTTGTGGAAACAGCCTGCTGGGAAAAACAAGTTCCCCAATGAGGGAAAAATGGTAACACCATCTTGGGCCTTAAAAGGCAGCAAAGAATACACTTGAGAACAGGGCACTGTGACTGCCTCTGAGCCTTGTGAGAAGCTAAGGCACCTACTCTGCAAACGCAGGTGTTTGGAAAACATCAATGCTTTTCCACATGGATTCTTTGGTGCATAATCAGGCTGTGCGGCCACGTAATGTAGCATGTTTCAGTTAAAATCCAGCCAACTATGACACAAACTGGAGAGGAGGGGACGGTGCAGAGGTGAGGAAGTATCCCTGCAGCTATTCCAGTCCCAACAAGCACTGCAGTCAGGTGGTCACGGCACGGGACACCAAGGGCACGCTGGCTGCCAAGCTTACCCCTGAAAGGTGCGTTGTTCTCCGACGTCCAACGGCATCGGTGGAAGCATAGAGTTTTGCTCTTTCTCCTGAATTCCTGCAGGTCAGGGCCTTGTAGGACAGAGGGCTGAGGGGGCTGCAAGATGCTGAACGGGGACAAACGGGGATAACTACGGTGTTGGTTGATTTTGTCATTTATTAGTTTTAATTACAGAGTAGCATTGGAGAATTGACAGAGGAAAGCCAGCAGGAACAGAAACGACCGAGAAAGACAGAAAAGAAAGAAGGTATTAATACACAGAGAAATGGCTAAGTATCAAATCAGAACCATCATTTGACACATTAGCTTGGCCACACATACAGTAAGGATGCAAGTTCAATAGGTGCTCATGCACTTTTCCATTTGTAAACTAATAGTTTCTTTCTAAAAAATTAAGAAATATGCCATGATACTGGGTAGCAGATAGTATTTTCCCATTAAGATTTTGTACAACTGGTGGTTCTGAAAAAGCAGTAGAAACAATGGCTGCTCTGACAGATTAGCTTAGTAGACACATTGAAATAACATTCAGAATAGAAAGCAATCAAACAAAATCAGCATGCCTACGAACTGCATTGGAAGTCAAGAAAAATTAAAGGAGACATACACACAAAGATCAAAACCCATTGACAATACAAACCAGTTTAAACTAGGAAACCAATGAAATTGCTGTCTACAATTTGCAGCAAATTATTTTTTTTAAATTCTTGTTTTTAGGAATATTTTAGCCCATTATATTTTTGATACTTCTAGAATAACAACTTACTCAAATACATTCTCAACAGCAAACTATTTTATGCATCAAAAAAAACAGGCTGACAACAACAAATCAGCTTGAAAATTAGTTTTTGAGTAACCAGGATGGCAGCTTGTGTTGGTCTGCACAAGCAAAAAGACTGTTACCAAAAGACCTGACAATGGCAGGTATCAGATATACAATGCTCTGACTTTATCTTCAAAGAGAACTTTAACTGCAAAACATATCATGGGAAACTTCTTGCAGCAAAGTGTTCTTGGACTTTCTCTTGATTTAACTGAAGAAGAAGATTGGGGGAAACTACGTAATTACTGCAAAGTTTTATTTTTCAGCTCCTGTTTGTCTCTTCTGGTCATTTAATTGAGTCTTATCACAGTTACTATCCAGCACGTCACTTGAGGATAAAACAGGGGCTCTATATATTATCTTTCCTATTCCTTTTTTTCCCTCCATGTCAAAGAAATTTACATCCTCTATTTCCTTAATGAAAAGCCAAACCAAATGAAACCAAACCAATATTTCTTGCCTGTATATCCCTCCCTGAGCACACTTGAAAGAATGCAGTTCCACATACAGTTAATTCTTCTAGTCTTACAAAAGTACAGCTGCTGCTACAGGAAGAGCTCATAGACTTAACAGTACTAATGCTGCAAATTCTCCTGTACCAAGAGATTAACATTATGAATAAAGTCTCATGTAAGTGTTACAGCAATGGCACTAATGCTTGCCTTATAGTTCATAGGGATTTATGTTTAATGAGGAATTATGACTAACTTAAAAATAAGCAAGAAACAAGAAAACAGGGATTTTTGCTTGTGGTTTTATTTTGGTTGAGGGCATCTAAACCAGACAGGAGGCAGTGGCATAATGCTTTACACACCTTATCATTTATGTGGCTCCTGCCCTGTGATTCAATTCCCCTTCTGCATGCTGATTATCTGAAGTTACCACCAAGGAAGACAACACAAGTATTAAAATAGAAACAGTTCATTTTCCTTTGTGAAGTTGCCAGACACTGCTTTAGGCAGCACTTCCAATGATTCATGTACTAACAGGATTACATCTATTCAGAGAAGCTTTTTGAAAACTATTTACAAAACATTTTGGTTTCGAAGGATTTATTTAAAAAAAGATGCTGATGTACTCTTATGCTGGATGTCCCTAATACTTCCTTAAAATTCAAGGCTATGAGTACATATTTAACTCAGTTTGGATTTTTTACATTGCAATTTATTTTTACAGCCAAAGGGCAGGGTAATTCTCTAGGGAATAATGACAGGTTGGGATGAGTGGAGTGTTCAGAGCACAGCTGTGAGCGATTGGCATCACTTGATCATTAATCTCCAGGAAGCATCCTGTATGAAGGGGTGGAAGTTACTGCTCCTAGGGAATAATATCTGGAAAACAATGAGCAGATGGATCTTTCTTCTGGTGGTATAGATCCAGTTAGCATAGGGAAGGCATTTCAGGGAAGTGCCTTAAACTGAACTGACAAATCAGTCTTTCCTGCTTTTTGTAGCCTTTCTCAATATTCCACTCAGTTTAGTTGTGCAGTATAAACAAGTATAAAACAAGAGCAGGCACAAAAAGCTTCATGCTTGCTCCAAGAAGGTAACACTTACATGAGGCCTTCTCAACTATTCCCTAATGAAGAGCTGAGTTTCCAATATCCTTCTTGGTAGGTGACATTAAATATTAATTTTATGAGTGATTGTTTTTGAGGAGTAAAAAAGAATGCTGTGCTTCTTAATTTTACTATTTGTAGAATATCACCCACATTTTTGCTCCCACAGCACCACCCCTGTGGAAACGTACCACAGCCTAATTAGTTATAAGAGTTCTTAAGTGAAAGCTTCTTTAAAAGTAATCTTAGCAGATCTCTGTTCCTTCTTACCTTCTATGTTCTTTAATTAGAATAAAAATCCTGTCCACATCAGACCAGATGTCTCAATTTATAATAATATATTGCTGCATGTGCTGAGGGTGTAATGGTAAAGTTCCCAGTGGATGATTACAGAACATTCTATTATAAAACATTCTATGATAAAAGAAGAGGTAGCTGTCACCTGCCTAAAACACATGATAAGCAAGTATGCCCTGGTTGTATTTGGAATACAGTTTTGCCTGGGCCTTCAATTACCACCTAGCAATATCATCACATTTCAGCATATTAATTTTCCCTCAGTGAGTACCATCAGGGAGCTGTTCTGGGGTTGGCAGACAACTTTACAATTATTATAACCCCACTGAACCTGCACACTTAACTTCACAGGTATTAAATTAACTGCACAGTAGCCAGGGCCTATCTTTATAAAAGTCTAACTTTCTCCATGTGGGAATTGCTCTGGTAGGGGCTGAAACTCCTTTGCAGCAAGCAGCTCACAGCTTTAGCAGTGGATGTGCTAAATCAGCTCTTTCCAATAAGGTGTCCATTTCCTTAAACAGCCATAGCCAGTGTGATGTTGTTGCCTGCATGTTTTGTATGTTATGTTTTTATTAATTTATTGCATTGATGAAGAGGCACAAGTAAGAAATAGTTAGTAGGAGAAAGAGAAAGAGGCATAGCAAACAACTGTAAAGGGAAGCTTTCATGCTGTCATGCACACTAACCACAGATTTTCAAATTCATTCTGGGATGCTACCATACACCCCTAATTAGATCAGTGACTTTACAGCATCCGGCAGGGAATCTGGAAAAATAAGTGTCTGAGACATGAAGCCTCCACTGTTACAGGATTACCTGCATCTCCAGACAATGCAGCTGTGCTTTTACTCCGAGCCAGGAATGAGTGTGTGGGCGTCAGGAGCCTGCTAACGATGCTGCTCTCCCATGGGCTGAGCTGAAGACGGCGAGCTGAACGTGCACCATACAAGCAAGATGTTAGATCAAACACTTCACAGATAACCACATGCTGCACAGCGTTAGTACTCTCCTCACTACTGCATAACATGGAAATCTTGAAACTGTCCACAGCAGTTCAGTGTTTTTCATTTTATTATTACTCCTTTTTAGCAGAAGAATTCCTATAGAAATATGTACATCTGAACATTTCATTTATGTTATTGCCTGTGGCATTATGGCAAATTGTTACCAAATGAGTATGGATATTCTGCACATCTGCCACATTCCACGTTAGGAATGATAGCATAATTTCCCTACTAGAGGAACAGTTGCCACTCCTAAATATAGACTTCAACAGAGATGCTTGTGTCCCAAAGGCTTCCTACACTAAAGATATAGAGTCTTCCAGTTACACTTAAACACCTTCCAAAGTTTTCCAGCCTGCTTAGAAAAACCAAAGAAGGCTGCTCGCTGCTATACAGAGAATTGTGTCAGTGAGGTTTTATCAAAGCACTGCAAAAGGACAGTGTGCCTCAACTGCAGATACCAAGCTCAGCAGCTGCAGTTGTCTCAGTAATAGGTGAAGCCATAGAAAACATTTAATATATTTGATCATTAATTCTCTGTCCACAGATCCTGCTAATGATCAGTTTCCGTGTAGAACACTTTTCACATAGTTGCTCTGTTTTGAAAATGCAATACATGCTGACCTGGCTGCAATCACACTGCTACTTTGCTTTTCCCAGTGTTGTCTAATGCAAACATAGCTTGTCAATATAATCCTTTTATCTTGTAAAGTTTCTTTACTTTTTTTTTAATACTAATTAAACATTTATCACAGCAAAGCATTAACCAGAAGAATACTGTAAGTTACTTTCTGAATTGAATTGATATTTCTTTGATATTCCAATGCAACAAATTGTTTCATAATGAATATCACAGGCCAAAACATTCAACTACTTCCCAAAGTAGTTCATTACAGTAAGCTTATACCTACAGCAGTAATCTTGATATTGCAAGCAAAAGCAGGTCTTTTTACACCTCAGCAGTCATTTACCTTAGTTTAGTGTTTGCAGCAACAAAACTGCAGCTTGAATTTATGAGGCTCACTCTCTATAACATTCATTGAAGTGACTGGCTGTAACAAATTTGACATTCATTTGCATTTTTAAAGGAAGAAATCCATCACTTTTAATAGACATAAACTCTGAATCTGTCTTTAATCTAAGAGCCCCATGAAAAGAAAGGCTGATCTCAATCTCCTCCTATGAAAATATAATTGCTTAATCTGCCCTCAGTGCTGTTTTGCACTTCTCAAATTGCTCCCTTAAATTCCAGTAACGCAATAAGGGGCATTACTACAGAAATATAGGACTCTCAAACACAGCAGGCTCTTTTCCTAACTGTCCTTTTACAGAATGTACTATTGGTGAAGCTTTTTGTGATTAATGGTTCCATTCTGCAATGGTAGAGATCACAGACACACAAAATACCCTACAGAGACCTCCATTACAGCACACACATTATCATTAAGCTTGCAGTTTAACAATGAAGAAATCACAAAGCTACCATTAAACTGGATGCAGTAATGGCAAAGTCTTTGCTTGCTCTCATCTCCAAACCCCATGCTCAGTATGAGCACTGTTTAAAGTTACTGTTGCAAGATTCTTTTTTGTGGTCTCAGGCTTCAGTAGGTGAGGCTCACAGGTATGACTGTGGATGAGTTTGGAGAACTCTTCTACTGTAGTTTAACATAATGATCACACAACTTCAGAAAGCAATCCTTGATATTTTAGGCCAGTAAACCAGTTCTATATACACTATCCATTTCTGGGCATTTATCTTTACATGATAAGTGAATGTCACCACGTAAATACTGCCTTGTGGGGCAGCTGCAAGCCTTATGTCACTATAAAGGCTTATATAAGCTCCCAGAGATGAAATAATCTCAAGAGGACACAGTTAAGAGACTGATGATTTAGAACACCAATGTCTCACCTGCCATGTCTCACATATCTCATATTCCTTGCCCTAAAGATGAGTATGGTTTAATTATCTTTGGCCCTAACTCAGGGAAGGCTGTATTCACATCCTCTATTGGAAGCAATCCCGTGTGGCCACAGCATCCAACTGAAGCACTGAGGCAGTGTTTGGGAGTGAGCTAGTTGATGTGCACAATTGTGAACTAAAACCAAAAACTTTCTTCTCCATATAAGCAATAGGCCTGCGTCAGAGATGTCAAAATAGTTTTAGCCAGGACCTGGGAGCGAAGTCACCCTGATTCTCTACTATGGGTGTAGATCAAAGTTTGTTCAGATGCACCTTGGCTTTGTGGGCCAGGGTCATCACATAATGAATTTTCCAAACGCACAGCTACCTGAAAGCATCACACTTCACACATTCAATACATGTTTTAACAGATTAGCAGTACCATTCACCTAGAACAGACAAACTTTCCCCCACTGGGTTCCAATTACAAGACTATTAATATTAAATGCATTGAACAGCTTCAGTTTGATGTCCAAACCACAATGGCGCAAAACTGAATACCAAATAAAGAAAATCGCAAAATAATACAATCAACTTTAATACAATGAGGTCAGGGATTTCTTTTCTTGCTCTTTTTGTTTTTAGTGCCTCAGGGTGATGTTTTCAAGATTTAGTTTTACAAACCATCTGACAGACAAGGGGAAACAGTATTTTTTGTTCTCATGATGTGTTAAGCTATCACTCTAAGGGCTATTTCATAGAATTATAAAATGGCTTGGGTTGGAAGGGATCTGAAGGATCATCAAGTTCCAACCTTCTTCTCATGGACAGGGACACCTTCCATTAGACCAGGTTGCTCAAAGGCCCATCTAGCTAGACCTTGGGCATCCACAATTTCCATGGGCAACCTGTTCCACCTGCCTCCTCCAACCTATCTCACCATCCTCAGAGTGAAGATTTTCTTCCTAATATCCAATCTAAACCTTTCATTTTGAAGCAATTGCCTCTTGGCCCTATTACAACATGTCCTTGTAAGAAGTCCTTCCCCAGGTCTCTTGGAAGACCCTTTTGCTGTAAAGTTTCCCTGGAGCCATCTCTTCTCCAGCCTGAACAAGCCCAAGTCTCTCAGCTTTTATTGCTCCATTTTCACACAGGAAACATATCTGTGATAGGCTTGCTAGTATAAGGAAGTACCCTCAGCCCTAGCCACAAGCAGGTTATTTTTAACAGATTGAAGATCTTTACAACCTAACTTGTAACTAAAAAACACACAAAGTTGCAGGGTGCTGGCAAAAGTATATTGGTTACAATCACCTGTATTTGTCTTGAGGATATACAACTGGAATACTGGAAAGTTATCTTAGCAGCAGCAGAATAATTTGCAAGTAAGCAAACAGCAGCATTTGATTAGCTGTAGGAACAGATGGGAGGCAGGGATTTAACAGGCCTTCTGATGAGCACCACGAAGGAGACTCTCATTGATAAATGTGGTGTTTGCTTATACACATACACAATATGGTGAGGAGTACATAGGGGGAAACTGCTCTTTCTACAGGAAACAATACTGCAGCCCCTGAATGTCTTCTATAATAGTTGCAGAAAATGGTGGTGCAGTGATTGAGACAATCATCTGCTTGAAGAAAAATCACTGCAGAGGGGGAGGAAAACAACTAGGGTGCAAGTTTTGCAAAACTTTAAGTATGTAACTCATACCTCATGAAAAGTAGTATCCCTTTGCTAAGCTCTCCTTAAAGAGCAGAACTGCCAAAATCTATTGGTCAACAGCAATTTTCTGCAGTTGAATATGTGTTCATGTTCTGTTACAGTTTTAACTATTCACTAACTACAGTAACATAAAAGCATGAGAAGCATGTTCTAGCTGCCCGATTGTACAACTGTGATAAAGAGCTATACAGCAATAGAATGCTTGAAATGCCATAAACCAGTCTTTTAGCCAATTAGCTAATGAAAACTTTTGTCTTTTGCTGCAGCAAAGCAAAAAAGAAATTGTCCTTCAAATGATAAAAAGGTGCTGCACAACAGATGACAAGTTCTTGTTGACAGCTATAAGCCACTTAGTAGGTAAGCTCATCATCCTTATCTGCAGCTCACTGTTTTGCAGGTAGGAGTCTGTATCACAGAGTGTGTGTGATTGGGTGCCCTCTGGAAGGTGAAATGGGGAGCAGGCAGTCACAGCCTTCCTTTAAGCACCTGCCTTAAGAGGTTGAGGCCACTGGAGAGACTAGTGGCACTTCTCCAGAAACATGGCTCAACTAGATTTAGGTATCTGACTTTGCATGAGAAAAAGCACTTATAGCATTTGGATTTACTTTCTGTCTTGGAGCCTGAAAAAGTCACAAGAGACTCCTAAAGGGTTCTGTGCTGTTTTAGTAAAAATGCCAAGCAAAAATGCCTCAACATTTTGACAAATGGCCATCACTTCCATATTCCTTTCTTTTCCCCTACCATTAGACTGCCTAGTATTCTGTTTAAGTTCTCCTGAACTTCAAGTGGGTGGCAGAAGCTAAAACACTGTGTTACAGTCCATAACAGATTATGCTCCATACTTAATGCCTCCTGCTGTTCACCTGCCCACTTCACCAAGATCCTTCCTCAAAAAAAGCATTTGACAAAGAATAGCAACCCTGAAAAGCTAATAAAGTTAAAACTGATTGGATTTTGACATTTAGAGCAAGAAATGACTAGTGCTTAGGAATAAATTATTTCCTAAGGTAATACTGTATTTTTCACAAGTTACCAGACTGTAAAAATAGGTTTGCCCACTAAGATGAACGTGGCTCATCAAATCAACCAAATACACATGTTCACTCAAACTTGGAACTTGGTTAAGACACACATATAATGACAGCAACCAGACAACGCAACTAAAAAGTCCATTTAAAAAAAATTAAAAAATAATTTTATGGATTGAAATGGGACAGAACTCAGTGGAGGACAAAAAATCCCTACCAAGTACTTTACTGTAAAGCTCTTTGCACAAGTTACACAAGAGACATTCTTTTATAAAACTTTTAAGCTCAATGCTTCAATCTCATAAGTCCTCAGAACAGCAGTAGCAATTTAGCTATGTTAATTTTTAAAAGCTTGATGGTTTGTCTTTTTTCAGACTTGTAAACACCAAAAATGTACACTGAAATGAAGCAATCCTTGAGAAATAACTGGACACGAAATGTCAATAAACAGACAATACAAAAAACATCCATACCTCTTCCATAAAAATAACCAAAATGGTAATAAAATCAGAAAATGTAATAAAATAACTGCTTGAAAGCTTCATGCAACATGTTCTTAGACATTCAAGAGCTATTACCGAAAAAGAAAGGAAAACAAAATAATGACAAAATGGTCTAATGCAAATAAAAGGTCACACATGATTGCATGCACTAGGGAGTGATGTATTTCAATAGTTGTACCTCATTTACTAAAAACCTGACAGAAGCACTGCTTTTATCATTTGCTAAAGTAGGATTGTTTAGGTAAGTTCTCTTGTTTTAAAAACAAGAATTATTTGTTCTCACAGGAAAAAATGTTCAACCATTTACTTGTCACATTTGAAGTCTTTCCACTACCACTTAGATGAAGTACAGAAAATGACTTCAGAAGCTTGTTTTATGTGCAAAGTAATACATCAGTATAGAACATTCTTTCTTGCTGCTCTTTAATGCTTTTTTCTTCAAAACTGTACCTCTGTCTGGAGAATTTAGTAATGTTGCAGATGAGGAGGAGAGCCGCTTGTTTATGACTGGATCAACATGTTTCGAAAGGTTCATTGTTGAAACAGACCGCCTGTCTCGATCTAAAACAAATGGAGATAATGCTAATTGACAGCCCACATGCAACAGCGCAAGTTCCTAGCTCACTACTGGGAGGAGGAAAACAGGACTAGGTCACTCCTGCTCTACCACAAGAACTTCCAAAATAGAATGGATTTCTCAGTAGACGTTGTACAGGTGACTCAAAGACTGGGCACAACACAATTTAAGTTTCAAATGTGTAAAATGTTCTGTTCATTATCACTCAATGGGTTGCAATCTAAAGACTTTCAATATTGTCAGAAAAATCTCTGCTCGCAACTTAGAATAGAAAGATTCATGGAAGGACCAAGATGCTTGGAAACACCAAGTTATTCACTAAAACACCACCCTGCCATCTGAATAAAAGATGACAGGACACTGTTACTAGGCAGATGGTCAATATTGTGGCAATGGCGTGCTGAAAGTTTAAGGGAATATTAGTGCACAAAGGAAGTAAGAGTGAGCACAAAAGAAATTAAAAGATTTAGTTAAAAATCCCACAGTTATGTGTAAGTTCTAAACCACCTACCAGAATTTTTTTCAGAGTGCTGAAAATCCAGCTTAGCACACACCTTAGCAGATATAAAAAACCAGCCTCTGTAGAAAGTACTTGTAATGCACCTACTTGGCATACGTAACACGAAAAATTTACAATTTGATTTCAGTTTCTCTACATTTTAGAGTGGTATTGCATCATTTGCTCAACTGTTGCAGTCAGCATCTGCGTTCTGCTGAGGGGGTGATGGTTACTTCAAGAATAGAGACTGCACACTCTTTGTGCCTACGTCTGCCACAGAAAGTTTGCTGTGTCCCTTCTTTTCTCTCACTCAAAAAACACCCCAAACAAAAAGAGCTCCAAGCTCCGTGCTTCAACTACACATTCCCTGTTACAAACTTTCATCTGCAAATCTGAGATCCAAAGATGCTGTGAGAATCAATTCTGCTTTTGCTTACGTTTTAGCATGTACTGAACCTCAGCACGACTCAGCAAAGCATTCAACCATGCTGAAATGCAATGAGGCTTGAGCATATGCCTAACTGCTCTGCTGATTCATAGTCTGTGTCTCCAAAAATTTGTCCCTACACTGTTTGCAAAGCAGATACAAACTCAGGACAATGACAGCATTAAGGATGCTGCTGCTGAAATATTATTTGCCACTGTTTCTTTATGACTAGTGTATTAAGATTGTATTTACCTGTTCTGTCCCAATAGATTAAATTATATTCACTGTGTATAAAAGAATTCATAGAAATAGAGTCTATGAAAAATACCTTAATTCTCCCCATATCTATGAACTATATAGGATCCACTATAACTTGTTGGGCTGAAGAAAGATTCTCCCTACCCCATGTGATTATTTGCTAACTTTAACGTTAGAATGACTTGGTGAGGGCATACAACTGGCAGACTGGATACCGGTAGGGGAATAAAACTCAGAAATGGGTTTTAAAAAGGAGAAAGCTAAATGTTATAACTAAGAAAAGGACCTCTGTAGGCTGTCAAGATGATCCCAAATTGATCTATGGGGTAAACTGGAGAATGCCCTGTGCAAGTCACTACTGGACACACTACGTTCAGGCTTCCTGAGAACAGGAATATTTGTGGGAACGGGAGGGGGATCTTGATCTCATGTATAATCTGCCACTGAGAAACTACACAGTGTATCAGCACAGCCATAAAGCTTCTACATTTGGCAGAAAGGATGTACTGCATAAACTGACTTTCTGAAGATGACAAATGACAATATTGAAAATCACCTCTGTTGTTAGGCACGACAACATTTCTCGTGTCAATGAACCTTATTTAAATGAATGACATTCAGCATAAGGATTTGCATACAAGTGTTGGCAGTACGAATCCTATAAATGTAGAATAGGCCAAATGCAATCCGTTGCCTCGAAAATTGCTGCTTTCTTTATCCAAAAAGAAAACCAAAAAAGAAACAAACAAAAAAAGGAATTAAAATACCCATGAGCAATGAAACAGCCAATGCAGCTGGTTATGTGTCTGTGTTCATGTGCAAAATTGTAAATCTTATGTGCCAAAAGGGTTTTAGAAAATAACAAAATATTCAAATTTGCTCTCCTTGAATTCCAGCAGATAGAATATTATGCTTCATTTCAGTGAGTTGTGCCAAATCTTTAGAGTCAGCCAGCAGTAACTCTCCACCAGAAAAATAAATAATAATGAAAAATCTGGTACTAACAGTTCTAATCTATCAGCATGGTGTTAAGCATGCATTGCAACTACATGAGGGTGGTTTAGTTACGGATGATCTCACTTCCTGAGAACTAGCTACAGGTGAAGGAATAACAAACCACAGCATTATGTACCAGGTTTTCTAGCACCACCCAGAGATTTGAAGTGGTGCTCCAGGCCTGCTAAATCGAGAAAGGTGAATGATGATTCAAAATAATAACCTAGGGACAGAATGCAAGACAATGATTTTTCACAGAAAATAAAATAAAAATCAAATAAGTTATACAAAGTTAAGCAAAAAAGTAACCTTTTATAAAAAATAAATGTTTATTGAAATTATATATGACAAAGATTTCAGAGCATTCTTTTCTTGATTTTTTTTCCTCCCCTGATGAGAGGTTAGACACAAATTAGAATAGGAAGAAAAGAACCTAAAGGATCACTTCCTGTTAAAAGAAGTAAAGGAAAAGTTCTCTTTTGGGAGACTTGATTCATACTGAACAGGGCATATACACATTAATCATTGGAGATTAAGGTAGAGAAGATATTTGGGCAGAAGAGCATATAGCTAAAATTCACTTAATTTGCCAATCTTTAGGGGAAGAAAAGAGACTTCTATTTCCCCAAATTTCAGTACACAGCACAGATCTCTTATTATAAAGAACAATTTTCCTTCCTTGTGTCTACTTTAATCTCAGTATTTGGTCATTTCCACCAGACCTACTCTCAGAGGCACAAAGCTAGCATTTGCCACAGTAGCTCATATCACAAGATTGACACAGCACAAGCACACCCACATATATATACACACACGAACAACAGCAAAGCAGCAGGAGCGAGAAGCTGTAGCAAGGTAGTTACAGAATAACTCAACTCCCAAAGCAAGCTGTAACTTTTGTTCAGATTTCTTTCTCCTTGTTACCTTTTTGCTACACAAGAATGTCACAAACATGCCACTGTTAGCAAGAACAGGACCAAGAGAAAAGAATTCAAACTAACATACACTGAAATATCCTTCCTTTCAGAAGAAGAAATGTAAATCCCAGTTGACTGGTGGGGAAGGGAAACTGGCAAGCAAAGCAAGCCTCCCTTGTTACCTGTGTTATTAATGCGGTTGTGCAGTGCTCCTCCCCAGGACCACCTGTTCTGCCTTTGTTTTGGCTTCTGGCTTCTTTCAATTGTGCGACGTACAACAGCTTCATGTCGTTCCTTGAGTACAATAGGATAACACATTTGGATACTACTGGGTTCTTAACTTTATTTTCTTATAAAACCCTGCTACCCTCCATCACATGGACAATACCAAGTAGGCATCTTAGGTCTTTAAGCTTATGTGCTGCCTACTTAAGACACACAGACTAGAACAAAATTAAGCAGCAAGTAAGCCATAAATAAGTTAGAACATTAAATGAAATTTTGGAAAGGTAAGATCTGTTTAAGTGGCCCTGCCACTACACAAACACACCCTAGTGCTACTTCCCATGTACTAAATACCAGAGGAGTGGGAGAGATAGGAAACACAACATCCACAAGGATGAGGTGGCTTAGATAGGATCACACTGCTCATACTTCCCAGTTTAACTGGGAGGCAAATCAGCCAAGAGCATATTTCACTGCACACTCATTTCTGAAAAGGTTTTCTTAGGGCAACTTATATTTAACTACCCTTAAACTGAATGGCTAAGAGTTAACGGATAACCATACAAACCTGACCCAAATTGTTTTTCTGCATGAGTTTGCACAGTGCCATACACAGTAATCCAGGCAGGCTCAATTTCACTGCACTTGATTCATAACAGAAGCAGTACCTGTGGAAGTAAGGCTTAAAATCCTTCCACACACACTGTCATACTGACCATGGCTCATGCTGCATTGTCTACATCAGCTCTTAGAGAAAAAGGCTGATAGTACTGTATCTTAGGGCAAGAGAAGTTGAAAAGCTGTTTCATGGCATTCATTCTTACCTTCTCTTCTTCTAGTTTCTGCCTTCGCTTTTCCTCTACGGCAGCTCGCCTTCTCTCTTCCTTTAGTCTCTGCTCTTCTAGCTTCTTCCTGCGCTCCTCTAGGTGCTTCTCATAATGCTGCCGTGCTCTCTCTTCTCTTTCTAGCCAGACGGATTCTCTTGCAGCTGTGAGAAAATTGAGAAATAAAAGCATTAACTTGTTTTATGTAGTGAAGTCTTTAATACATTTCGAATAACCACGGTCAATGGAAAGCCTTTTGAACTCTCTTTCTTCAGAGATAGATAATATCCTTATCTCTCCTCATGTATTAAAATGTACCCTGGTCACACACTGATTTTATCTAATCTCAATATACTTATTATGAATTACCAACAGTTATTTGAGCAGACAGTTTCTTCATGGAAGAAGAAACTTTGCCAGCTCAAAATGCCTAAATACTGAAGTCAGATGCAAGTGAACAAACTTCTGTTACATAAACCATGCTAATTCCCTAATATTTTACTGAAAAAAGACAACAAAAAGAGAGGTGAAACCATCAGAACTTTCACCTTTATTGATCAATACAGATCTCCTATGATAGAAGTGGATGGAATAACAATTCTAGCACCTGGACCAACAAAAGGAAGGAAGTTACCCACCAAAGAAGTCTAAAGGTAAACATTAATCTGTCACATAATTCCATTTATACACAGCTTCAAACAACATGTTTCAGAAGAGCTAATCAAGAAAAATCAAGAAGCCCTACACAGGACCAACTTTTTTCCCTATCAATTAATTTTCATTAATTTTGTAGATGCAGGCTCAGACTGCAGTCCACATGAAACCACTGATGATACTCTGGACCTCTCCGCACTGGCGTCTTGAAAGCTTTGGGATCCAGAGTGGAACTAGATTGTTCCCTTATGCAACATTGTATGTTTGCAGTCTAAGTCAGTGCTACCATCACACAGGAAATGCTCTAGACTCTTACAGAATCCTTTCACTACAGTGGTACAAAAATTAATTAAAAAAAAACAAAATTCAACCACAGCAAACCAGCCTACCACAAAAAAAACCCCAAGCCCAGTGCATACATCCTGTTACCTAGACTCTGAACACACTAAGTAATCCAAACAATGTAGTTGTTCAAAACTGGAACTCAATCAAACCCTTTTGCAGAAGATTTGAAAAATCCATTATCTTTGAAGGGGCTAAGAGCATCTAAGAAGCATAATTGCATATATCTCATGAAAATCCAGCTTGCTGTAGCATGTCAGCTTTTAATGGATAGTCACTTATGTACAGACTATTGATCATATCAAGACAAGCTGCTGCTCTGAGCCACAAGACTTCCATGGACCCTGTGATGAGCTGGCTCTTTTCTGCCTGGAATAGGCTTACAATGCAACCCAGCACAAAAAAGCTCTTTGGTGGTCTACTGAAAATTAATAAATTACAAAAAGGAGAAAAAAACCCCAACAAAACCTCAACAGCTTTCTTAACTGGTGTCACTGGAATATTAATTTGCCTATAAAAGACATGGAGATTATTTGTTCTTGCTTTTATTAATGTAAATGGCTAAACTTCCTTGAGACACGGTTCATGGTGATTTCCATAGGATTCAGTCTGTCATGTTGTTTAGAAAAAGCAATGAAAATACGACATTTGAACTTTTAAGACTAAATTTCAGAAGAGAGAGGCTAAAAAGATATTTATGTACATTCTTAGTTCTGGTACGACAATCGAATGCTGGACCTCTGGACAGAGTGCTTATCTTCATCTTTCTGCTTCTCTGAGAAGGGGCGATAAAAATCACACTATTGTGATACAGCAAGACAGCTCAGTAAGAGAAACAAGCATTAGTGAGGAATTAACCCAGGCAAATGGACGTGTTCGGCTGGAAGAACTTTTAACAAAAATAACAGATCTGATTCAAACCAAATAAAAAGCTACATCTTTCCACCTCTAGGCTACAGGCAAGACAGCAGAAAATGTGCCCACCTGCTAACATGAGGAAGTTACTAATTTTATGCTTGGACCAAGTATTTAACAAGTACATGAAAGTATGATTTATGATACATCTGTTTGCTGAAATAAGTGTAATATCTATTTTCATTAATTTAACTTTTTCACAGATAGAGATATAATCTTGACTACTTTTAATTTTTTTCAATTTTCAATTCCTGCATTTTGTCTTATTAGAGAATCAAAGGAGAACATCTGCTTTGTTTACACTTCTTCCTGCATGCACTACTGACATTCTTCTATGAACTTAAGGGCTCAGTTTTGGTCGCCTATAAGGTAGGAATATACAGGGACATAAGTTAGTGTCCTTAGATATATAAAGATAGCATCAGGAAAAATAAGAAGTTTAGAATATTTTTCTTTCATTCTTATGTCCCCATTTATGAATTTTCAGAAACATTTTCCTGGCACCCCAAACAGATATGAAAAAATTGTCTTGTAGAGTAAAAAGTTTACTCTTTAGACCTCTGCTCTAACGTAAAAAAAATTTTAAAAATATATTAAGCTCTATTCTGGATACACAGGCATGCTTCTAGAAGCACAGCATCAAATGCCTTGCTGATAGAAAGAATCAGCAGATGAGCCTACAGGAAACTGATGATATCTCTAAAAGGTCTCATCAACCTGAAAGAGCAGCCAGTTAGAGGATGTGGCAGGGAAGAATACCAACTTCTATAACGGTGTCTCCAGAAACTGTGCCAAGAGCTCTGTCTGGAGCTAAGCCAACAAAGAACTCCACTGGGGGTATGGTCCAACAAAAAAGCACCTTCTGAGGCCTGAGCATTAACAGGTTCATGATCTTCCTCTCCCTTGTAATATCTCGTATTGTACGACAATGTGCAAGATTCATTCAAGGAAAGTCTGGTCACCATTCAGATAGGACCTGCACGCTGAAAGCTTAAATTCCATTGGAATAATTACATTAAAGCTGGAAAGTACAAACAAAAGTCACAGCCTGATCCATTTTCAATTCCATTCCTTAGTACAATCAATATATTTGAACACAGTCATGTGATACAAGGACACAAAATTAGAGCATAAAAACAGGATTTAGAAATTGAGCCCTAGACATGCTGTTGAATACCTTCTGCTTGTTTGCAAACTAGAATGCTGGGTTAGATTACAAAGCAACATAATTAAGGCTGTGTTTCTGACACTTCTGAAGTGAATAACAGCGAGAGAAAACAAGGTCAATCAAGAAAGAGACACTCCACTATCAAGAGACGCAAAAGACTTGAAACCAATAAATTTTACACTGGAATTAACTAATGTAATGTGGACGATGCTAGCTACAAACCTTGCATATTTCTTTCTTGGAAATAATTTTGCAGTTTCTTTCCCCAGCCACACATACTAGAACTATTCTTTGCAGGAGTTTTAGGCAGTGAGGGAAGGAGGAGCATGCACTAAGTGTCAAAGCCTTTATTTTCTGTTTATCTCTGTGAAGCAAAGAATGTGCCCCCAGATTCTTTTGCTTTTGGTTTACTGCCTATACAAAGGCAGATCAGTCTATCACCATGCTTTCTCAGTCTGCCTTTTGAACCCACCTCAGATGGACAGCTCACCTGAGCTGTCTTTGCTAGTCTTTGTCATGCTTTCCACACTTTATCTTTTCTAACTTTACAGCACTGACCTCAGTGCTGTAAAGTTAGAAAAGCTTTCTCCTCTGACTGCTCTTTCACCTTTGCTCACTGCCAGCTCTGCACTGAGGCGTGATTGCCTCCTTGCTGCATTAGCAGTAAAATGGATCAGTGATGCTTTAACCACACCTAAAAATGGGGACATTACACAGAAGGGGCTGACTGAACAAATTAGAAGGTGAACTTCAGAGCTGTAATTAAAGGTGAAGTTAATGTGACATTCTCTAAGCCAACCTTTCCCCAGTAACCATGGTCCAAGGGACATTTATCACATAAGTTTTTAAACTAGTCTTCCTTAAAAATTGTTCTCTTGTCTTATAAACTCTTTCAACATTCAAATTCTCCAAGGAGATCCCAAAATTATTCATATGCTAGAGTCAATGATTCCCAGTTTCTGTGGGGCTTCCTTCTGTTGGATAAAGTTCTGCCCCCAAGTGCCAGGGAAGAAAACAGGCCAGAAGGAATTTACTCACAGAAAAAAAATTGTAATTTTTATTAATGTTATTATTATCCCAGTGATCACTTTCTGTGATGTTTAAAATACTATTTTAGTGCTTATGCATTGTAAGTATTAAGAATTTAATGAATTTAGTCAACTTGAAACTCAAACATATTCTAAGAGCTAACATTAATCACTCTTTACTTAAGGAAGTGGGCTAAGTCAAAAAGCAGTATTACCATCTTTTGTTCCCAACACCAAAAACTAAATTAACCACATGTCCTTGTCAGGATCATAATTCTGATTAAAAAAAGATCAGACTTCAAGCAGGATTAGCATAGATAAAACATGCACAGAAATGAGACTCATAAAAGTGAGACTCAGTTTTCTCAAGAATCAGGGACCAAGATACTGCTAAGTAATAACAAGAAAATTCTTCCTCTTTGCCAGGCCACCACCTAAGGTTACCAGAATTAAATCCATTTTAACACCCCAGTTATTTTCCCTGTTGAAAAACACATTTTGATTTTTCTTTCCAGTTAGGGAGGACTAGGTCTGTGCTCTGGAACCAGAGACTAACTGGCATGGAAGAACTTTCATCTCTACTACTAAACTTCTACCCTCCAAAATGGTGACAGCACTTAATCTGCACATGCAGAAAAGCCCATGGACCTTCCCAGCCGATTCCCAAACCTTGTCTGGGAATCAGCAGGCAGACAACTAGCTGGCTGGAGCCAACACCCTGCCAGGATCCATCATGACAGCTTTATAGCAAGAACAATTAAGTTTTAGCATCAGGAAATGCTCTTCAACACTGTTAATTTGGCAGTACAGATACAATCAGAACGGCAGATAAGGGTAAAATCCACATGATGAAAAGCAGCAATTTTCAGTAATGTTTTCCAGTTTGAGCAAGCCATCTACCATGGCTGCCTTCATAAAAAGTGGGTTCCAACACGTTTGTCTCAACATTCAGGGCCAGAACACAGCTGCTCAGCCTGACACATGTAAGTGCCAAGCTGGAGCCAGAGTGTGAGAGCTCCCTTTGCTCTGGCCTCCAGGAACAGAGCCATTTGACCTACCACTGCCTCTCTTGGGATTTCCATTTTGCACAATTCAGGAGGGTTAGTCTCACATAGAGAGATGTGATATCTTTATTTTAAAGGGCAGGTGTTAACTTTTATGCACAGGTGCTATGGGAAAGAGCACTAGTGGAAAAAGCACAAAAATTAAAACATGGTTACTAAAGAGCAAGTTACAACTCTGGAAGCATTACTTAGAAAATCAGTATCACCCTAATCCTTTAAGGCCTGAATGTGATATCAGCAAAACACACAATACCAAATGGTCAGGAGATTAAAAAGATTGAAGCAGAAAACCCTCCATGAAACTGCTACAACTTTAGTCATGCAAAAGGAACTCCGAAGAAAAAAGTCAAAGAATTAATATTTTAGAAGTGTTGGGATGGCATTTCAAAAGCAATGCCTTTCCCACAGTGAAGAAACTAAAACAATCACTTTTTGATGATGTGATTTGCTGATTGTGTCCCTGTGTATCTTCTAGGTTACCTAAAGAAAAGTCCAAAAGAAAACATGAATATACTAAAGGTGAAAGGGGCATTTTTTGTAGAAGCTTCTTTAATCTTTTCCATTAGGTGGCTCAACATGATCCTGAAACAGCAGGTACCGACAGTCCCAACACATTTATGTGCTACATATATATATATTCAGACAAAAATTATAGCATTTCCTATTCTCTAAGCACTCATTAAAAACAATACTTAGAAACCCAAGTGTGCTAAGTAGTCTAAGAGTGCTAAAATACTATTTCCAGGTGCAAAGAAATCCTCAGGAGTTCAGAGCACATGTCAATCCACCACAGGAAAGCCAAATCTATTACAGCACAGTGGAACTTGAAAAAATAGAATTTGAGAGTAAAAAAGGGGAAATAAAAATGGTCTTAAATCAACTCTTCTTTAATAACAGAATATCACCTAATAAATAAATGTAATCCTTATTAAAGTGGTACTCCACATGTTCTTAACAGAAGGGTCAACAACTTAATTCTCCTGACCCCCAGGAGTTCAAGTTGCTGAAAGTACAAAACAAAATTACTACCATCTCTATACCTAGAGAATTGAACCCTGTCCTTTCCTTTTTTTAGAACAAAGAATAATTTTATTTGAGGTAGGACTGAAATTCTCAACTTCTGTATAAAAAGAATTCTTTGCTAAACCTGAAAGATCCCTTGAATCAAAAGGAAAGGAATTAAGTTTAAATCCAATCTAATTCAATTGAAAAAAAATTAAAATTCCTTCCTTCAGTTGCTTTACTGTTGCATGGCTGATGTCCCAGTATTAACAAAATCCAACTCTAATTTTTAGCAAGACACATTTATGTAACAATATTATACAACTTAATGTTTAAGAGAGACAGCTTAGGAATTTCTTTGCTGTGGTTCACATGACATGAGTGACTGATTATCTAGGATCTGCACTAAATGCACTAAAAAAAAAAAGTTACATGCTGTTGTAAAAATCATTGCTCGGCTGTACTGGAACACAAATCTCAAGAGACAGCTCCTAATCGTACTAAATCATAGCAGACAAATATACAGATGAAAGTACAATGCAACTTTCAATTTTCTTGTTACTTCAAAATAATTCTCCAAGCAACAACACGCAATACAGTTATACATCACAGGGACATGCAAAACTCTCCCATGTGGAAATGAAGGATTCCACATCAACTTATAAAAACTCCTGATGTTGCTTTGATGTTGCCTTTAAATCACATCACACAAAATAGCACATTTATCAACAGAAGTCATGCCCTTCTGGTAATAAATAGTCATTTATCAATAGCTAGAAAAATCAGAGTTAAATTCAAGGAAAGTATCTTTCTCTTGCATTTGACTAAAGCATTGTTATTATACAATGATAAAACCTGAGAAAAAAAGAAATTCAAGACATGGAACCATCATATGCGAATAATTAATTAAAATGGGCCAGAAACATCCATTTGCTCTGAAACCTGAAGAAACTAAGCCTACACATACCATCAACCTCAACTCGAGGAGCAGCTTTTCAGGGATTATCAAATATCCTGTCATGTTACCCCTTCAGCAAGCCAAAACTAAAGCTTTCCTTTTCCCCTCCAAAACAATCCTAGTGATTCATGCATGGCTACTGCAATGTTATAAGGTGCTGTAAACAAGGGAGGATATAAATGCTATCAAGACCTAGGTGACAATTAATGATGGCTCTTCAAGTTAGAAGAAGCAGCGTAATTCTGGCTGGAGTTACAATATAGTTCAATAAACTTTCAGAAGTTGGAAATGGGAAATAAAGAACTTCTGTTTCTCAAGCCCTTAGAACAATTCAGCATTGAAATAAATCAGAGTAAACACATAAAAAAGAGGAAATACTTGTATTTCCCAACGCCCCAATTACCACAGAACTTTGTGGCAGCCAAACATTTACACATTGTTCAGAAAGCCACCAGTCTGGCTTCACAAAATTCTTAATTCTCTCACCATCATACTCAGTACACTGCCCATCAGCAGTCACTTGTTAGGCAGCCTTCACTACTCACTCAAACTGTGTTATACTTATGCAGGCATAGCTGACATAACATATTCAGCACACCTATTTGATTCCTACTAAAGGTTTGACCTGAAAAATGTACCCCAAGTATACATTAAAAAATTCAAAGCATACATTGGCAACATATTCTTCAATTCTATTTTATGGTATTCGGCATTTTAATCTTAATTGATAAAATATCCCAAAACCTCAAAATTCCATTTACATCAGCTAAGTTCCCTTGCATGATTTCAGAATTAACACCTACTTTTCATTCCCATTCATGGAACAGGTGAGAGATACAGTACTGATGAACTAAAAGATTTACTTTAAAGATATGGCAGCGTATCTGAGACGATACTATTGCAAATCTAGCACTATCATTTTGCTAAATGACTGCCCCTAAAAGTAAGCTGGCAATAATGCTGCATGCAGATGATAGTCCAGTAAAAACAAACAAAAAACCAACCAAACAAACACACACAAGAGGGGGCCTTACCTAGCTGTTTTTCTCTCTCTTCTCTCCGTTCTCTGGCAAGCCGTTGCCTGTCATCAACCCTTAGTACTGTTGGGTGATCTACAAATGGAGAAAGAGGAGTATTAGGCACACAGCATAAAATCAAATACTACCAAACCCAAACTTAAAGGACAATGGCTGTTTAACAACCCTAATTATTCTGTCAAAATAGATAATGTTTTGAGAAATCCATCTTATTTTAAAAAACCCATAAAACTGATAATTAGAATGCATTCCTATTTTTAATAAATAAAATACTTCTAAAGAATAGACTAACATGTGACTGCAAATATCCAGCAAGACTACTGCTTGTGAAAACCAAGGAAGAAACTTTATTTTGTTTCCAAGCCTAAAACAACCTGACTTCTAGAGAGAATACTGTTTATTATTCCATAATGTCTCTCCAAAATGCACCCACAGGAAAGACTATTATAATCAAGCTTTGTCTTCCCCTTGATATTGCCTCAGAACAGCTAATAAGCCCTATATCATGACACAAGAACCTCAGCATACAAGCAAAACAGGCTGAAGCAAAACACTGCTCTGGCTGAGTCGTTCTAAAGCAGTTCTGGCTGAGCCTCTGGAAAAAGCATGATACTGATCTCAAAAGATGTTTGTGTGCACATGTGTTAAAAACTCTAGCAAATATACTAAAGGCAGTGAGGCATCACATACATGGACTTACAAGTCAAGTAAGATGAGAGCTTTATCTATCGTACATGAAAATTTATCTACATGAGTACTTCACAACTATCTGCAACTGGCTGCTTGGATCACAGCAGTAAGACCGAGGATCACATGAAAGATCTGTGTCAGAGCCCAGGTCTGACGTTAAAAATTCAGGTTTGGTTGGAAAACATCACTTGCTCAATGATGGTTCTGGAAGACAACAAAGTGCTGAACAGCTAGCATCCAACTTCCAGTCTCAGCAATGGAGCTGTTCCAGACAAAGGGAACAAAATCCAAGTTAGCAATTCATCTCAGCATGCTGCCAAAACCAATTTCCTACTCAGCCTGTTCTGTTAAACCTGGAAAGCTTTTAATTTTATGGGGTTTTTTCAGTAGCACTGAAAAAGTCTGCTTTGCATAAGAACACAATAAACAAAAAACCCACAGAAAAATAAAAAAGATTTCTGGATATAAATAAATGGTCTGATTTATTTTAGTACTGAGAGGAACTCAATTTTAAAGTATTTTAAGATAAAGAGATTTTCAAATACTGTCATCATGAAAGAACACAAGACAACAGAACCTTTTCACTATTTGGTGTGAATACACATGTAATCAACTTGTAAAAACATGTAGAGTCAGCCTACTTGTGTATAGGGAGCATACCTATGAAAAAAGTTATTAGCAAACAATACAATGGGGCATAAAACTGAGGTTAAAGATATTTGCAAAGTATGTCCCTGAAGTGAGGCTGTGCTAAACTAATTTTGAATAGATATTTGAGTTAGATTAAAAAAAAATATGTGCATTTCATCCTCTAACAGAGTTTTCTGCATGAGAATGACAGGATTTCTTGGGTGAACCAGTTCACCAACAGCTACTACACTTTAATTACACTTGAACTCTAATCAGTGAAAAACTATTATCTCAACTACTGTCAGACTAGAGCCCCAATTAAGAGTGCTAATAGCAATACAAAGTAACAGCTGCAAGGAGCAAACCCATTGCACAGTTGGCACGGAGAACCTTCACACACGACAGCCCCCATGAAGGGCACAGCAAGTGAAAAAGTCACTGGCAAAGGCATAGGTAATCTGTCACCCAGCTGCAGGTCAAAACTTCAATGTTGGCTGGCTAGCCCAGAGTGCTGCCATTTATGACACTGTGCTCAGCCATGGCATGGCAGAGATTTGCCCACTGCAGGGTGTACATCTGCATTTGGCTGATGTTCAGCAGCGCGCTGGCTCACACACAGCCCCTCAGCATGCAGACACAGGTCAAAAGGGTAATAATATTCCTTCTCTCTGGTGGCTGGCACACAAGGTTCACAAAACATGAATTTCTGTGGCATGAGTAATTAGTGCTTGTGGAATAATGCACATTTTCCCTGGAAAACAAGGGTTCCCTTCAAGGGCTGTCAGCAAAGTCAATGTAACATTGAGTTGACACAAAATGATGAGGCACTGGGGAAAAATGTAGAAACCTGCTTCTTTCAGAATACCCTTCCAGTTCGGGTTTTTTTTCCCTTTTTTGAGAAGAGAGATTTCCCTATTGGAGAGAGGCAACAATTCTTCAAAGAGGCAGGAGGGTTACATGGACAGGCAAACTGAAAAGGTCTCCCTTAAGAATTCCTAATTATAAGCAATGAAGGAATAAAATAAATTTTTAAAGTTGCCCTCTGCCACTCTGTTTGAAGATATCCAATTATTTTTTCCATATCACACACCTGATAGTGCTCACACAAGAGCAGCCCCTCTCCCAACACCGCAGGATGTTAGAACAATCCTAAAGAATTCACATTAAGTTGCAGGCTATGCAGAGTGTGTGTCTTCAGTAACAATTGATTTTGCATACATTTGGGACCACAAAGAGCTAAATCAATATTAGCACAAAGATGAGGGTAACACCTTTGCAGCAGACCATCATTGCATTTGCTCTACTAGACGCTGGAGCACATATTATCAGTGCAAGATTTACACTGATAATTAAAATATCTTCTCTAAGTCTTCAAAATGATCCTTCATAGTTTGGCTAAAACCCCAGCCTCCAACATCTGCATTCTGAATCCAGAAGTTCTGCTGGCACCCTCAGTGCAGAGCATCAATAGTTTCAAACTGAGGCAAAAGAAGAGAGTTCACTGGGACTGCTCCCCATTTTATTTCTCACATCTTTATTTATTCAAAACCCACCAGGCAAATACCTGGGGGATTGGCATTTCTTCTTATTTGGTAGGAACACCAGGACAAACAAATAAAATATTTTGTACACTCTTTTGCTCATATTCCTCATCAGACCATAAGCTTTAAGTTACTGTGAAAGGAAATGGAGAAAATGTCAGCTGCAACAAATCCTGCAAGAATTTCTCATTTTTTAGAGAAATAATTGCCAACTTGGCATATGCAAAACCTAAGAGACAACACTCCAGGAAGACCCACATGCTGCTTTGGAACTTGCAGTCTGGGAAAACTGCAATATGTGGGAACTCACAGTCAGCAATCTATTTCCCTCCACTTATGTAACAGGCATAGAATTAAGCATATGTATGATAGGGATGTTTGGAGAATAAATAAGCCATAGTTCTACATAGGAGAAATTAGTTTTTTACCTGCTGCTGGAAATTAAGCCTTTAAATTCCATATGAAAACAGTATATGTCCATATATTTAGAACATTTAGTGTGTGTTCAAAATTCATTTTAACAAGTTAATAGGTAATTTTGAAAGCTTAGAAGCCTTGAACAGTATATTGCAGAAATTCTGCACTGAAACATCAATAGGTTTTTGTCCCTAATGATAGCAACAAAAGGAAAAAATAAGTTTTACAAATCTATAGAACTAAGACTCAACAAATTCTTAAGCGAAATTTGTATTTGTAGAAATTAAGTTCCTAATTTAACAATTGACATATATAGTTGTAAATATGACCAGTTTTTGTGGCTCATACTGTCAGCTCACTCTGCCTTCCCTCACTCCAGCCCCAAGAATTTTGGATTCCTTCTACACACCACCACACATGAAGGGAACATTGGAACAGCTAAGACACCCTTCTGAGAAATGAAAACAGGATTAAACTACTGTAGAATAAAGCAAGTATTGAACACTGTCCACCACAAAGAGCTGTGGAAAGAGGTAATATCATCTTTGTTTTCTCCTCCTTTTCCAGCACTGTCTATCTGATTGAGAGCGGCCGTGATTCCTGCGCTCTGTGCAGGACCCAGCGTGCCTGGCAGAGCATGCCAGGTGGGATCTGAACACAGTGCTGGGATTCCTTCCCTCTGGGGACACAGGCCAAGGCGCCCCTTTTGGGGATAGAGAAGATCTGTCAGTACAAAACAGGCACTGAGCTGCCAAGCTGTCCAGGAGCTGAAAGGGGGATGTTACAGTGGGCCTGGTCATCAGCACCACAAGCACCTCTGCTTTCCCAGGCATCTGAGCAAAATCATTACTAATTGCATTCTTCAACCTTGGGTACCTGAATTGCAACATAAGCAGAATTTAGATATCTGAGTCCTCTTCTGGATCTTGGTCTAAGCATGCAAGTGGAGCAGACCCACGACACCAAGGGCTACAGTAAGGTTTTTAGCACATACATTTTCAACTGTGTAAGCAAACAGTGAATTAATTCCACACCATGCACCCGTGAGGTATGGTGAAGTAATGAGAAACATCTGCCCACTGCATACAGCATGTTGCAGAACATGGCACACTTTGTGGTAAGTGAGGAAATGCCTGAACAGAGGCACATTTATACAAAGCTGCAAATCTTTGCCTACAGCACATAATTCTTATTCAAGCATAGATGCAAATACGGTGGCTTCTGTTGTCTTCTCTCACTTCCCAGCCCTCATTCCTAAGCTATTCTAAAATATAACTCGATTTTTCCAGTTTTGCTTCTTTGCAAACAATCACATATTCCAGCCTATCTACACATGAACAGTCACTGATACCAGTTTTGTCTGAAACAGTGAGGTACAAAAGCAACAAACTTTAGAAATTCCTGTGACAACAGCTGTTTTCCATGCACCATTGAAGCAAACAGCCTTAAAACATGGAGCATGTGGAATGGTGTACCTGATTTAGTTCCAGCATTGCTTTGTCCTGAAGTCACTTTCTTATCTTGTGTTTCAGAACCTTCAGTTCCTAAAATAAGGAAGAAGATATTAATCAACCATTTTACTTAGTAGTAGATCACTCACCTTATTATATTGAAACTTAAATATTGCTGTATTCCCTTTAAAATCAGACTGTTCCAAGATTTCACCTTAATGCCATTCTACATTATTTTGCATTAAAAAAACCCCAAAGGCAGAAAGCATTTAAGCCACAATACAAGTTCCCAATTCAAGCTGAGGAAAGAGCCACAAGAAGATTTCATTTTAGCAATGTGTTTTAATAAGACTTATAAGATGACTTGCAGATCCCAGGTTTCTAAAGGTATGGTATGAGATACTGGCAAAAACTTCTTTACAAATTGCACATCCATAATGCAGGACTGGAGAGAGGACTTTTAGGGATCTGAATGAAATATAAGTGAGGAGATATTCCCATTATTTGCAACAGACTTTTGATCGGCCCCTACCAGCCTAGAACGAGATCTAATTTTGGAGTTCTGAATGCCCTTTCAACAACTCTTTATAAAGAAAAAAATCTCAGAAGATTCATTACTATTACTCAAATCAAAACCATATCCTTGTTTCAGCATCTATCTCTAACTCAAAAAAAAAAAAAAAAAAACAAAAAAAAAAAACAAAAAAAAAAAAAAAAACCAAGAAATTAGATGCCAGGATTTTTTCATCTTACTACTCATCTTTGTACCCAGCACTTCCACTATAGGGGTGCTGGAGTCCAGAACACACCAATCTGGGAGCAGCCTAAAAGCAGACTGTAAGAATTCTAAGAAGCCCTCCAAAAACATCTTGAAAGCATTTGCAGGCAAGGATAAAGAGGCAGTTATAAATAAAGCCTAGGGGATGAAAGACACCAATTCATTTGAACAAAAATATCACTAGAAATGAAAGTTGGAAAAAAACCCTGATTACTCCGGATTTAAAAGCTAAACAGGCATTACTGTATTAGATCCACTTCAGAAAACATAATTAAAACAAATTTTCCTCAGAAGGCTCCAAGCAATTTCTTATGCATGTCACCTTTAACAATACACACTCAGCATTTAGTACCTCAGTGAGTTCATTCCCTTTGTGGCCTCACAGAAATCTTTGTTTCCCTGCTTACTTCCTTCCACAGGCATGCATCAGGACTAACACAGAGGGTAAAAGGTAGCAGGAAGAACCTGTATGCTACACATATTGTACCATTTTTGCAGGGGAAAGTTGGGTGAGGGAAATAGAAAAATGCTGTTATCAAATGTTTCATGTTCGAGAGCAATGTTTTGCCAAGAACAGTGTTCAAAAATCAAGCCGTCTCACCAAAAAAATTGTGTGAAACCTTAAATAATTGTCAGACACTGCTCTTCTTGATTCCTGCATTAAGTCTCTTGCAATCAATAGAAATAACCACTGTTCAACTTAACAAATACTGATTCCAAATGACAATAAGAACTATAACACCTTAAAGGCAGCCCAACACAAGATTTTAGTATTTGCCATTTTAAAAGCTCATACAAAAGATTAGCGTGGCCTATGGGTAGATGGATCGATTTTTGGCAAGATAATTTGAGCACCACTGAACTTGGTAGGATCTACCATTATAAAAATCCATACCTGGTGCTGGAACAAGTCCAGAGAAAGCCAAGGGACTTGGTGGAGTGACTGAAGCACAAGTGGTGTGAGGAGCAGGGGAGGGAGCTGGGGGTGTTTAGCCTGGAGAAAAGGAGGCTCAAGGGGAATCATATCACTTTCTACAACCACCTGAAAGGAGCTTGTAGTCAGGCAAGGGTCAGCTGCTTCTCACAGAACAAGAAGAAACATCATGAGAAGGAAATGGCCTCAAGTTGCACAAGGGGAGTTTTAGTCTGGATATTAAGAAAAAAAAATCTTCCCAAAAGAGTCATCAGGCTGCCCAGGGAAGTGGTGGAATCACCATCTCTGGAAGTGCTCAAAAACTTGGGGATGTGGCCCTCGGGGCCATGGTTTAGTGGTGAACATGGTAGTGTGTTAGTTTAACTGCTGGACTTCATTTTTAAAGGTCTTTTCCAACCTTAACATTTCTGTGATTCTAAACTCTTTACATCTTACCTTTCCCTCAAAGTTAAGGCACTTGTAAAACAAGCTTTTCTCCTGCATGTATCAACTATTTAGAACATTCTCAGAAAAAGTCCTACTGTAACTCAGTGGGACTACATCACAATTCCCATCAGCCTGGCCTAGGGCATCATCTAGAAGAGGAAACTATCATGAAAAAGTAAAAATACTGTGTCTAAGAGCTAGTGAGTACACTGATGCTCTAACAGTGTCAGCACAAATTTCTCTGCATCTTTCATACCGAGTATGTGCATTATTTTCTACAAGCACTGCACCATGGGATTATGCAACACTCCATTAACTTCAAAACTGTGGTTTAAATGCCATCCAGAAAATACACTTGCAAAAAAGGCCTAGGTACATGAAGTAATACTTCTTTCCCATATTTCTTTGTCGAACATTTCCTTGGAATATTTTTGACATGGTTTGAATACACATTCATATGACCACTTATATGACAAGTGATGAAAAGAACAGATGGCACACCATGAATTTTAACGATGCTGGAGATCAAACAGGAATTGGCACAAGCATTTAGTAACCAGTGTAGGTGTGCTCCCACACAAAATACCTCCTGCTCTAGGATACAAACAGATTAATCAGACAACCAAACATCTAAAATCCACACCTAAATATTGACAACACTGGTTTCAATACCTAACAGATGCCGGAAGAGATATAATTTAACTATCTAATATTTGCTCTGCTGTTTATCTTGGACCACTACCTTTCCATAAGGGAATAAAAGCTGCATAAAAAAGCGTTAGAGATGGATAATTTTCTGTGAAGAACAGCTGTCCCTCTCAGCTCTGCCACTACTATATGGCACAGCTTTAAACAGAAAGCTGAACCTCAGCTTCTTTTTGTGGAAAGAGGGGAGAAAATAGGGGGGAAAAGGCAAGAAAAGATATATGCATTGCTACTAAATAATATGCATTTGTAAATGCTGAGCTTTCAAGTAACACCAGTGGCAACACAGAATGCAGCATCTATACCAGGAGCAGAGCTGAAAGGATCCATAAGAATGACTAGTGCTAGGGAGAACCTCTGCAGGCTCAGCTTTTAGCTTTGCTTTGAACCAAGACAAGTTAAAAATTGAGAGATTATTCCTACAAGAACAGTTTTGTAATGGAAATGAAATCTATTTAGAAGTTTCTGATCAGTTTCAATATATCTATGTGTTCAGACAGGTTTAATCAATACTTCTGTTACCAAGATAATCAATCAGACAGGTTTAATCAATACTTCTGTTACCAAGATAAGTACAAGGTCTAGAAGGACTGACAAGCAATTTCATAGGATGTCAGCTCACCCCATGTCTCACACACAGCCATTATAATTACAGTAAACTGCTACAGCAGTTAATAATCTCTGTACCAAATACCAGTACCAAAGTTTACTTCCTAAAATGGAAAAAAAACCCCCCACTTTATGATGGCCAGAACTACTTTGAAAGAGGCTGTTCCATGATCAGCATCTGTCAGAGAAAAATGCCTTTAATAACCTTACAGTCTAAGGTGTTCCTCTTGAACTAACAAAGCCAGTTATCTCCAGCTTGTCCAAAGGAGGCCTGTGTGAGGAGAAGTAGAAATTGCCAGCAGTGGGAAGCAAAACAAGCACAAAGAGAAAATTTATATTAAAAACTGAGGATATTTTGAATTTAATATTTAAATTCAAAGTTGAGGAAAAGGCTCACAAAAAACACTGAGAAAGGAGGAAAACTATAAGCTTTTAGTGCTTCTTTACATGCCAGATAAGCTCTGGTCAAAGAAGCCTGGCCTGAGAGACAAGGTAACATATTTGAGGGGAAAAACTTTGTTGAGAATTAGAGCCTCTGGGAGGATGTGCTGGAAAGCAGAAGGAACATTCACCCAGATCCTGGAAAAACACTGAATGCCAAACATTGAGAGACAAAGCATCACACTGGCATTTTGACAGGTTTTTTAAAAACACAAGGGTTGTGCAGAATACGAACACTTGTTTTTCAGCCTGTGGCACATCAAGCACATATTTGCACAGTGTGAACCAGCTATTCCCAGTGAGGTGAATGACAAACCAAAGGCCCCACAGCAAGGCTGAGGAGCTGGAAAGTGGATGCTTAAGCTCTGTTCCATGGAAGAAGGGAATCAGCCACAAGACAGAGGCAGGTCTATTTCCAGAAGGTCTCTACCACCAGAAGTCTAAGCCTCAGGAGATTAAACGCAGTGTGAAGGGGCACTTGGGGAACACAAGCAAGAAGTGCTGCTGAGACCTGTGCCAAGGTGAGGATGGGCACAGCAGCCCCCCCAGAACTGCATCCCAACACGGGTCTGGAAAGGGGAGCTGTACAAGGGCTGCACAGCTGTGGATGAGACACAAGCACAGGAGAGCCCCAGGCCTGCAGACAGCCATGGCAGGGCAGGTACAACTCTGAGCACCAACGGGGAAAGACCACCCTCCAGCTCCCTGCTCTATTTCTGCTAGCGTGAGAGAAGTTACTGAGAAGCAGTCGTGAGAAAAAAGAAACAGCTAAATCAGAGGAGGAGGGATTACAGGGAAAAAAGAAGAAAATCTAGCTATTCTGTACCTGCCACTTGTCATCTAATCCCCCTGGTATGACTGAACAGCTACTTTTTTTAGCTGTCAGAGAGTGCTGGGGGTGTGTGGGATGGGGAAGGCTTCAGAAATGACAGCTGGAACAAACTCATGCCTCAGTAAAAAAACGCTGCCAATACACAGCAGAGGAAATTCAGCATTAAACAGGGAAATTTAAAGCAGAGCTAACTGGGAACTGATATAGTCTTTACTCCTTAGCATCTAATCCTGCTACCTCCAACTACTTCCTCATGAACACTGCTCAAAAAGAAAAAGAAAACAAAAGCCCCACTCTTGAATTCCCTTGTGTATTTTATACAGCATGTCTCACCTCACATGCACAATGTAAAAAATGCATTGTTTGAA